TTTAGGGTTAATTTGTCTATGTTCCAGCCAGGCATGAAAAAATCAAAAGGAAATTTAAAAAACAGGTTTCCAAGCTTTAAACAGCAGTAGAGTGCTCAAGGTCACTGTTCTGGGCATTATGCAAAAGACTTCAGATAGCCAGAACATACGATGATGACTCCAGACTTGCTGCTTGACTGATAACAGCTTATGAGAAAAGTTTCTTAAGATTTATAATGCCAAATTATAATATTCTTAAAATATATTTTAAATGTATTTAAATGAGTAGTTAATCCCATTAATCTTTAAATTATTTTCTTTGCATCAACTATCCCTCTCTCCAGATTTTCTGCTGCTCTACAAATGATGAGATTGATAGAAGATTCTTTTTTCTGTATATAGGAATTGTCTTTTCCAGGAGTAATCATAAGCATTTAGTTGTAAAAATATATCTCACCCAATAATAACACCAATGTTGAATAGCTGATTGTTGCTTCTCTTATTGCCGGCTGCCAACAACTTGCAAGCAAGCTTTCTAGCTGCTTGTTTCTGCTCATTGGCTGACTGGGGAGTTTCCTGGATTAAACGGGGATGACCACCATCCCCCCTGTTATCAACAGGCTTCCCCCCCAGTTCACCACCTCTTCGGGGTGGTTTTGACACCCTGGGGTGTCCCAAACAGGTCAGAATTCAGCCCAGGGGACAGAGCTCTGTCCTCCTCTTGCTGTCTCATCGTGGCATCAAGCTGGTCTCCGTCAATAGTACAGATTTTAATTGGAATTAAAAACAAACAAACAAAGAACAAAAAAGAAAAGCTCTGTAAACTCTGTGACCATTGTTCAAAATTCTGGACAATACTACCAAGAGTGCCTTGTGTTTGATAACCACAACCCAAACTTCTGATGGTACAAGGACCCAAAGCAAAATATTAACTGATGATTACAAAACACAAGGAAAGAATACTTTTAAGAACTGTTGTCCCATTCTCCTTTTCTCTTTGCCTGTTTCTTTCCTTTTCTGTCATTTGTTTAGAGCACAATGAACAGTTGGGTATCATCCTTATTATGACCAACCAAGTGCTCACAAAAATGTGCAAGCTTTCGAGTTCTAAGTCTTCATCAAACTTATAGGTTCACAAAGTAAGGGATGGAAAAAGATATCAACTTTGGCATCTTGCTGTTTCATTCCCCACCCCCTCCATTTTAGACTAACTGGCCTAGGAACGGGAATTTTTACCCTGTGGATCGTCTAAATCACTTCCACTTGTACACAATTCATTGAAATCCTGGTTCTTCCAATTGGGAAAAGGCATTGGGTGAGGAAAAAGAATCCCTGAAAGTTCCCATCCTTACCACATTGAGAGGCAAACTGGATGTATATCGAAAAGGCAAATATAGAATCCCTACATTATTTCCAACCAGTAAGGCAAAGGTAAACGTTCCCCTTGACAATTTTTGTCATGTCCGACTCTAGGGGGCGATGCTCATCCCCATTTCCAAGCCATAGAGCCAGCGTTTGTCCGAAGACACTCTTCCATGGTCACATGGCCAGTGCGACTTAGACATGGAATGCTGTTACCTTCCCACCGTGGTGGTTTCTATTTATCTACTTGCATTCGCATGCTTTCGAACTGCTAGGTTGGCGGGAGCTGGTACAAGCAATGGGCGCTCACTTTGTCACATGGATTCGATCTTACAGCTGCAGATCTATAGACCTTACAGCACAGAGGCTTCTGCGGTTTAACCCGCAGCGCCACCACGTCCCTTCCAATCAGTAAGAAACTGAGAAATACTATGTTTAAAAACCTGTAAAATATGAGGAAAGTTTCCCAAGGGAAATCCAGTAGATTACTAGGGAAGTTGAGGGATGTATTAAGAATCATAGGCAAGAGTAAGTGATACCACTTTTCAGTCTTGTTATACTGAGGGGCAATATAGCAATGTTTTTCTTCGATAAACACTCTGCTTTTGGAACTAAGGAGAAGAATGGACATTGCCAAATAAGGTTTGTGTCCCCATGACACCCTGAATTACAACACTTTCTAAGGCAAATTCTGATACTCTAATAAAAATTTCTGGAGGTGGCAATTGAGGTGCTCACCCACCTCAGGCTCAGGTTACCTCACCCATTCTATTCCTGCTGCCATCCACTTCCTTACACCCTTCTGTGTGTGTGTCCATATCAGTTTGCCACTATGTACATGTGGTGTGGGAGACTGCGGGGTTGCCCCAACTTTATCCATTATTGGTTGTTATATCTTCCATTCAACCAATCAGTTTGAGTACCAGCTGCTACTACGTTTATTTTAATTAGGCTTGCAGATTAGATGTCTATTTTGAAAATACCATTATGGGTTGTTTTTTTACTCACCACCAGGTTCTCCAAGGAGAACTCTACGTGAAATACGATGCTGTATTCCTCGTATATCATGTATAGTTGCCTCCAGAGCTGCTGTCAATCGTGTTTTTTGCTCTTTGAGCTCCTGTATTTTTAGTTCTACAAAATAATGTAAGGCAACGTCATAACCAAATATAAATGCTGAAATAACTACACCAAGCTAAATAAGCACAATTAGAATACAATGGGGCTGGTCCAGTCCATTTAGCAGTTGTTAGAGTAGCCCCCATGGGATGTGGTGGCACTGCGGGTTAAACCGCAGAAGCCTCTGTGCTGCAAGGTCAGAAGACCAGCAGTCATAAGATCGAATCCATGTGATTCCCGTCACTTGTCCCAGTTCCTGCCAACCTAGCATTTCAAAAGCACGTAACTGCAAGTAGATAAATAGGTACCACCACAGTGGGAAAGTAACATCATTCCATGTCTAATTGTGATGGTCACGTGACCATGGAAACTGTCTACGGACAAATGCTGGCTCTACGGCTGGGAGATGGGGATGAGCATCGCCCCCTAGAGTCGGACACAGCTGGACTAAATGTCAAGGGGAACCTTTACCTAGACCACTAAAATCAAATTAAAACTGCAATTCGAAGCAAGAAAAATCACTGTATCCAATTCATACCACTGATACTGCCTGGCTGGGAAGTTTCAAGAGTTTCAGCTTCTTGTAACTCCTTCTGCTTAGCCTGCAAACTTTCCATCAGTAGTTGTTTCTTCTCAGACAGTTCAAATAACTCTCTTTCTGCTAACAGATCTTTTTTAAAAGAAGAAGAACATATGAAACATCTATTTCCTCATTATTTGCACAACAAAAAATGCAGCCAAAGAGCAGGAAAAATGCAAATGGATCCACTGTGAAGACGCACCCAAGAAATCAGGTTTTCCCAGGTTAATTAACTTCAGCCAGCCACACAGAAGTCAGCAGAGAAAGGAGATGAAATCTGCCTTGTTTGCAGCTTATCAAACATTTGAATTCTCTCCTCCTCACACTTTGTGCCTGGGTCTGCTTGTTTTGCCCTTCTCTTCCATTCTCTCTTATTTTTTTCTTTCTAGGCTTCCTGTCCTAGGACCAGGACAGCAAGCCTTTAAAAAGAAAGCAAGGAATTGTCAGAGAGGAGAAAGTTTAAAGGTAGTTCTGTTCTGGCTGTCCAGATTTGCAGAAGACACAGTTAGAGAAGAGTTGTCTTAAAAATTCCTGTTTTCTCTCTGCTTTCCTTTTTTTCCCTTTGGTCAGGCAGTTGTCCTTGCATTAGACTCTGTGTGTGTGTTCCGTGCCATCACATCAGAAACAATTTATAGCGATCCCAACAGAGCTATCAGGGTAAGTAAGATATTTTAAGGAGTTCCACTTCCTCAGTGAGTTTCCATGGACAAGTGGGATTTGAACCCTGTTCTCCAGAAACAGAACAGGAAGAGAAGAGGAAAGCAGACCCAGGTATCAGGTGTATGAAGGGATCTCTGTTACAAAAGGAACAAAACCTGGGTAGGGTTGACAGCTGAACTTCTCACTGCTCTATGAAATGGAAGTATATAAAAATATATTATAATAAGATGCAAATTGATGCTCTTTGGTGCAATTCTAAACAATTCAGCAGTCTTGCAGATGTAACAATAGATTGTTGTAACTATACCTCTTCTGTCTTAATGAGTCCAGTTGAGTTTATAACATTTCAGTATTCTTTTTTTCAAAAACTCAAGGTCATTTATGTTTTACTCACCAGTGGATCTTCCAGTCAAAGCTCTCTGTGAAGCACGATGTTGTATTTCTTGTATATCATGCACAGTAGCTTTCAGATCCTGAGTCAATTGTCTTCTTTGCTCAGTTAGTGTCTGTAGCCTATGATCTACAAAATAATTTTAGGACACTTCATAATTAAATATCAGCAGAGCTTGGAATATTACCTTTTAAAAGAAACTTATTCTCCCTTTGTTCTCTTAAGCAGCTCTTAAACAATATCTAGAAACTTGAGCTGATATACAATTGTCGCCACCAAACTAAAGCCAAGGATTTACTGCTATTTGGTGTGCATTTGTTACCCATTCTGTTCTTTTCAATTTAAGGAGATGATTAAGATGCTTCAAAATCCTAAATGGTTTAAAATGTGGTTACCTTAAAAAACGTATATTCCTTTCACTCTCTTCCATTCAATGCCTGAAGTCTTGCTCCATGTTTCTCTAACAACCTAAGTGTAGTGGTTGTTCATAAGGTGCAGATTTTGCATGCAGAGGTATCAAGGCTAATAGAATGTCCCTTCATGAGGCCTGCTAGATCTTAACAACATATTCAGCAAGATGCCTTCTGAAAACCTGTTTTCTAGAAAAGTTTCACAGAGGCCTTTCACACTTAACCACAAATTATGTTCAACTTGACACTGCTGTCTTGCAGTGCCCATTTTAATGGCTTGTCTATTGGTTTTATTATCTTATGGTCTGACATCCTGTAGCTTTTATTATCTACTTATATCTTTCACTTTTCTGTTCCTTCTTTATTTTATTTTTAATGTTAATTGTTGTCACTATTATTAGCTTTTCTGGTTTTCATAAAGAATAATGTTTGATATAAACCCTCTAAAACACAAATAAATAAATATCAATTTACAAAAACAAGCAATGACTCTTACTGATGATGGTGCCGCGTATTAAAGCTTTGTAAGTAATAATACAGAACCAGACTCTTCAAAATACAAAGTTTGCCTGACATAAATTAAGTTAAATTAAATCATATGAAATGTAAGTCTAAGAAGATATGATTAAATGTGTTGCTGACATCATGTAAAACTATAGCATACATACCACTGATACTGCCTGGCTGGGCATCTGCAAGAGCCTGAGCTTCCTGTAGCTCTTTCCTATTAGATGCCAAACTTTCCAATAACAGGCGCTTCTTCTCAGATAGTTCATACAATTTCATTTCTGCAAAATTAAATGTTTTACATTCACCCCTTTAAAAGTATTGGCAAAATGAATACCCTGCTCACAAAAACACAGAAACCTGGTTCAGAAATGGATTATTTCATTAAAATCACAAATAGCATCTCCGTCAAGGCAGTCTTCAGGGCAGTTCAAACAAAAGAAATTAAATCTTCCTGAGAATGAAGGAAATCCTGCTCTTCTGTTTTACCCTCCAATGCATCTCTCTCATTCAAGGCGGACTGAAATCGCAATACAGTTACAAAACAGAAGACTGCCTAGGAGCTTGGTCACACAGCTAAAAAACCTGGGATCTGACCTGTTTTAAAAACTGTGCTGAGTTTCACATTCATACAATGAATTCCAAACTGCATATTTATTTTCTTCTGAGTCGTATTCTTTTCTTAGGAAGTGAATTAAAATAAACAGCCACCAGAGGGCCAATTATATCACCACACTTTTTTCTTAACCAGCTTAAGTCCATTGTGAATGTTACAGCCAGTTTAAATTACTCAGTAGGAATACAGGAAATGACTCAAAAACCACATGATTTGAGTCGGTTAAATTAAAACACTACATAGTGTTTTTTAAAAAACTGTAGACAGACACACAGTCTTTTCTAGTTTGTAAAACTGGACTTCAAAGGAATCCTGTGTTGGAGACTGAACCTAAATAAATCAGGCTAAATTGCCTATTCCTAGAGGTGAGAGAAACTGAATGCTGTGACACTCAGATGCTTTCATTAATTAAAGCTTTTCCTCTCATAATAACGGTCTGTTTCCGGCCAAAATATTCCTGGCAATGGGAGGGAGGACGAGTACCTCTGCAAGGCTGCTGAGTTGCTAGCCGAGTGGCACTCTGGGAGTAATTGGCAGGAAGAGAGGGGCCGCCACCACTGGACGCGTAAGTGGATGGCCCAGCCCCAGAGGCTGGACCCTCAAGTTCAGCAGTGTGAGGGTATTCAGATACAAATACCCCCATCTCTACTCCTGACTACTGGTTTGTTCCTTATAATCTTGCCTCCTGGTCTGTCCTACAGTTCTACAGTAGTTGACTCCTCAATTCTGGTAACTCTTCCGGTCCCATTGCTCCTGGTTCACAGTTCTCTTCATGGGTCAGTCTGGCAGTCAGATTCCCCCAGTGGAAGTATCAAGATACTTAATAGCAGCACAGATAAAACTAAAACAAAGATGACACAGATATTCTCACAAGCCTCTCTTTTATTTCTAAATTTGGTATTAAATTCAACCACTGAATATTTACCCTGGACATTTTTACTTTATAAAGAAAGATACGGTAATTCTTTTTTTCTTTTTTCTTTTTGCTTACCACTGGGTCTTAGCATTAGAGGTGTCTCTGAAATATGTTGTGCTTTTTGCATATCATGCACAGTTGCCTCTAAATCTGCAGCCAAATGTCTTCTTTGTTCAGCCAGCTGTTTTCGTTTTTCCTCTGCAAAATCATTTCAGACCAAGTTATTTAAAAATTAAAATACTGTACTTTGAAATGGCTGAACTAAAGATAATAGTATAATCAATGTTCAATATTATGTGAACATCTTTAATTTCAATTAGCATTTATATATTGCCTGTGAAAATAATGATTGCATTAAAATGTAATGTAAAGCCATGTATTTTAACAATGAGCTGAAGCTGCTTACAGACTTAGTGTACTTTACTGGCATTATTTACAAACTTACAAGGAGTAGCCAAATTAAATCATACTTTGAAACTGGTGTATAAATCACAGTTTGAGCAACCTAGGTTCTGTGTCAGAGACATTCTTTTATCAGTTTGGGCTGGTCTACCAAATGTGATCCCTCCTGAACAAAAATAATCTGGCATCCATTGTTCATTCTTCAGTAGTATCTCAATGTTACACACAAGATTGCTAATTATATTACTAATTGGGCCTAGATGCTACATTATGCAATATGAACTATGTCAACTGCACTGGTTTCCGTGCCCAATTCAAAGTACTAATTTTAATCTTCAAAACTCCTCAGAGCTTTGGGTTTTCTGTCTCCATACATTCCATACCCAGATAGGACCATCAGTGGAAAGTCTCTTGTTAGTAACTGAGGTGACACAGTGACTATCAATTTTAATTGAAAGACAGCATCTCAATGATAGCACTGGAATTGTAAAATACTCCCACAGAGGTCTTCCTGTGCCCAGTTTATTGAAATTTTGGTGCAAAAGGAAGGCTCTATTACTCTCCTAAGATTTAAAAATGCAATTTTGTTGGGCATTTATGCTGCTTTTACAGGTTTGTGGCTCTTAGCTTATTTTATCTTAAGTATTCACACTAATTGCTTTATTTGTTTTACAACAGTTTTATTATTTTAGGTCATACTATTGCTTTTGGTAAGGCTTGGAAGAATTACCATAAGAATTCATCTACATAAGATTGTCTGTGTCAACCCAATTTAAGCCATTTGGTAGCAAACAGTTGCTGTATCTGTACAAATATTAAAAGAGGCCATTCCCATCAAAAGCCAAGTTCCCTATTTGTGTTTTGATACATGATTCATTATGATTATAGCCAAGCATGGCAGCATATAAGCAGTTTCAGTAGGTATCAGGATGTAATGATTGGCAAAGTGCATTTATTGAGCTGCCAGTGTCAGCTTTCCATTGGAAAAGCCTGGCTCCATTCTTATTATCTTCAGTGAAGGGAGCAAGAAATTACGTGACAGTCTGGTAAGTGGCAATTCATATTGTTAAGATAGCAAAAGAATGAAAGTGTCTGCTTATCAGATCCTTTATTATCCCGGATAGAAGCTTAATTCCAAGAAAATGTGTTTAATATTATAACTGAAAGAATAAGAAACGTCAGCATACATACCACCAGCAATGCCCGGTTGAGTCGCTGCAATAGCCTGAAGTTCCTGTAGTCCTTTCAATTTTTCCAGTAACTGTTGTTTCCTCTCTGATAGTTCATATAATTCTGTTTCTGCAAAAGAAAGTGTTTCCCTTGAAAACATGTTTCAAATGCCTCACTATTCATGTTACAGAAAATGTAAAATTATTGTTAAACCAATAATTTAACAAAACATTTTCTGTTTCTGTCAATCCAGATCTCAAAGTAAAATAGACAAAGCAGCTATATTAATTTTGTTTTCCAGAACTGCTGCAAAGCAATGTCAAGTGGTACAAAGCCTTTGACTTGGCACAAAAATCTATAAACACAGGCACATACAAAGAATTGTCCCCTCTGCCTCCCCTTGTTAGGAGGGCAAATTCAGTCCCAATGCTTCTCCAGATCAGTACAAATTGGAATATTACGTATACTTCATCTTATATTGATAATCTTGCAAATTGCTAATATATGCTTGTTTTTATTTTTGTAGAAATATTGCTTCTGGGGACAAGAAAAGTGAGCATTGGCAGGTGAATTTGATAAATTTTGGGAACTACCAGAATAAATTTTATTTACTTAAATTTAGTTTCCTCAACCTATTATAAGCCATAAATAAGTTCATAGAGACATTTTAAAAAGACAGAAAATCCCTACAGTAACAACTAATGAGTTTCTTTCTATTTTCCCCCCTTCCTTACCATACAATGGAAGTTAGGATGTGTGGGTAGTTAACCACCAACATTTGATATAATATAGGAATGACAAGGAAGTATATGATTTCCACCTCTCCCTCCCACCTACGGCACTGCTGAATTAATGGAACATTCTGCACTGGGAAGGAAGTATATGATTTACACCTCTCCCTCCCACCTACGGCATTGCTGAATTAATGGAACATTCTGCACTGGGACTCAAAGATGAAAGAATGTAATAGTGATGCCTCCTCTCCATCTGATAGTCTTGTTACTGATAGCAGTAACTGGGGTTGAAACTTTAAAGCAACATACCTGCTAGATGCCTGCTTTAAATGTTTAGGGTTATTTATTATGATTTACACCTCTCCCTCCCACCTACGGCATTGCTGAATTAATGGAACATTCTGCACTGGGACTCAAAGATGAAAGAATGTAATAGTGATGCCTCCTCTCCATCTGATAGTCTTGTTACTGATAGCAGTAACTGGGGTTGAAACTTTAAAGCAACATACCTGCTAGATGCCTGCTTTAAATGTTTAGGGTTATTTATTCTCTGCTTACCAACAGGTTTTCCAGTTAGACCTTTTATTGAAAAAGAACGCTGTACTATATCACGGACAGTTTTCTGTAGATCTTCAGCTAAATATCTTCTCTCCTCATTGAGTTTCTGCAGCCTCTGTTCTGTTTTTTTAAAAAAGTAGACTAGTTCATAATAAAACATTAACATATGCTGTAATATTAATGTTTTCCACTTACATAGTCTTTACGTTACTTCATATATATTACACATACCAGTGGAGTCTCGACTTACGAATGGCTCCACTTAATGTTTTCCACTTACATACTCCTTACGTTCTTCATATATAGTACACATACCAGTGGAGTCTAGCCTTACAAATGGCTCCACTTACATACTTTTCGATGTGCGTACTTCTCCGGCCGCAAGATTTCCAATCAACTTGCGGCCAGAGAATCGACCTACAGACCAGAAGGAAGAGGGGGGGTAAGTGCCAAATTCAAATTTGGCGTTTTCCCCGCCTCCCCCTTCTAGTCCGTAGGCCGCTGATCTGCATCCGGATGCCTTCCAGGGCTTCTCCGCCACCATGGGAGGCATCTCGGAGGTCCCCCCTTGCTGATGCAGGCTTTCCCAGGGTGGACCGGGCCTACCAGGGGAGGGCTTCCCCCCGTAGGCCCAGTCTACTGCCCGGGAAAGCCTGGTAGACTGGGCCTACCAGGGGAGGGCTTCCCCCAGGAAGGGGACATCCGAGAGGCCTCCAGCAGCAGCAATAACAGCAGTGAGGAACCTCCGAGAGGCCTCCGGCAGCGGTGCCAAAGCCCTCAGAGTCCTCCAGCAGCGGCGATGGTGGCGACAGGGAACCCCTTGAAGGCTTTGGAAAGGTAAGGTGTAATTTATTTTATTTATTTTAATTTTGTGGGGGTGAGTTCTTGGGGGGGTTACAGATTACAGGGTTTTCAATGCATTCCTATGGGAAATGCATTTTCGACCTACAGACTTTTTGACCTGCGGACACCGTTCCAATACAGATTAATTCCATAGGTCAAGGGTCCACTGTAGTTAGAGATGTGGCTGAGGAATTCATTAAAATTATTTTAAATAACGAAGACACTCCAATAAGCATTTGTATATTTTACAAACTTGGCTTTAGGTGTGTCCAAAAACCATCTTCTTTAACATACTGGAGTGTAACACTAAGCCATGGTTTATTATTCAGAAAATAGGTCTCTATGAGTCTCAAGCTAGGCTGCTTATCTTTTCCATATCCTTTTAGAACATGGCTGGATCAGAAGATTTTGTATTTGTTTAAAATTACCAATAAATATATTTTCTGACCCATAAACTGTAATTAATGGGTTAATTTAATTACAGTCAGTGGAAATAAGCCCACTTCTTTAACTATAGTTTGAAGTTCTTATTTCAACTACTCAGAGCTGAGATCAAGCACAATTTTTCAAGACTAACACAATGCCATTAATTTAACTAAATGCTGCTGAAGGCTTTTAAACTCTTAATTACAGGTGATCCAGGAAAAAAAAGGACCATGCCATCAAAAAATCTGTTGTTATTAACATTAAAGTATACCTTAGGGTTATATACAAATAATGATACAAATGTAAAAACAAGTGCAGAAACAATTGCGTGGGCCAACTACAGCCCAGATGCTGTTCGATTTCACCTCTCATCACATCTGACCAGTACTGTATAGCCATTAGTGAGGAGAGCTGGGAGTCGTGGTCCATCGGTGTCAGGAGTGCCACACTTGATTCATACGTGACTGATGGCTTAGCAATGCATTGTTCTAACCATAGATTTGGGAGCGGCAATATAACCTTCCAACTCAATCTGTTTAGGTTGCAACTGAAAGCATCAGAAACTGGGGAACGCCTACGCAGTGGAGTTCTATTAAAGCAATGGGGCTCAAAAGCAAATGCTTTCCTATCTGCATCTTTGTGGATACTTCTGTGTGTGGAATGAATATGCACTTTTGCTCCTGACTTTGCTCACCACTGACTTCTGTCCCACAAACTGCGGTGGGCACCAGCTGCACCTGCACCTACCATTCACACTGCCTGGCTGGGTTGCTGCAAGACTCTGAGCTTCCTGTAGCTCTTTCCAATTGGAATCCAGATTTGCTTGCAACAGATTCTTCTTCTCAAACAGGTCATATAATTCACTGTCTGTGAACAGAAAACATTGTGAAATACCTCTTAAAAAGTAATATCAAATGTTTTTATTCTTACAAAGGCAAACAAAATAAATATATTCTAAAACTGATCTATTTTATTAAAATGGTTAATAAAAGGGGTTTATTTTACAGAAATGGCAAATAACGTCATTTCTCCTTACAGATTGTCCATTTTATGACAAGACAAAGAGACTGTTAACAAACCAGCAAATACTAATTTGTCTAAGGATCGCTGGGGAAAAGTGAAAAGCCTTCTGTCCATTCCCATTCCTAGTAATCATCACAAAGACTGTTCATCACCCTTACTCATGTTAGCAGCAAGGGAAGCGCAATCTGCGCCAGGATTATAGGAATGTCTGTCTGTGTGTGATTCTTTGCAAATATATACGCATACACGTATGTAGCCCTGATCAAATCCAGCATCAAATATTACCCATGAACTAAATGAAATCCTTCTGAAAATGCAGCAAAACTGCTACAAGCAAATCACCTAGATCACTAGTACCAGAGTGTCTGTACAGTCATTAGTGACATTGTAAGCCTGGACTTACAAGCAGAAATTGGAAAACCTATATTTAGTAGAGTAAGTAGCAAAAGTGTCCACAGGGAGTGTTTAGTGGAGTCAGCATAGCAATGTCAGCCAGATAAGAGGTAGACAAAGAACACTACAATTGCAACATCTTTGTTCCTTTCCAATCCCAACACAGTGAACCATTCTTGGTTTTGCCTCCTCTCATAATCTCTCACCAGGTTTGTGCTGAGCAATCTCCAACCAAACTACCACCATAATCCCTATATGCAACAGTGCCACACTGGAAGCCATACAAACATTTTGCTCACATCTGCAGGAGGGGGGATTTGTAAAGAAATGAAAGTGGCTAATAGGACTATCCCAAATAGACAAGACTAGTAAGTATGTTTTTCAGTCATTTCAATAACTCTGAGACTGACAGTTTTGTTTCCGCTATATTTGGGGCATATGGTGAAACATTTCTGGAGACAGAAAAAAAATCACAGAACCATTTAAATTGGGTGAGATGTAGAAGGTGTGTGAGTGGGCAATCATGAACAAGCTTCTGTTCCTAGATTTCCAATTACTTATTTAAGCATAAACGAAAACTGTCTTAGGACAAACGCTGGCTCCATGGGCTTGGAGACGGCGCTGAGCACCGCGCCCTAGAGTTGGACACAACTGGATTAAAATGTCAAGGGGAACCTATTTCTTTACCTATTTAAGTGTAAAACTCTTCAGCTATGTACTTTAAACCTTGCACACCAGCCTTACCAGGTAGGACACCCAAAAACAAAAATAGCAAACACAGCCCTTGTGGCTAAGGCATTTTCTTTAGGCACTCTCACCCTTGCCCCCAAGAATCACACTTGGGTAAAATATAATATAGTCATTCAAAAAGAGTAAAAGTTTATAAAACAAAAGAAATACAAAAAGATACCATTGTACTGGTAAATGCCAAGCATCTAAGTATTAAGTAAGCTTGTGCAAGGCTTCCCCATAAAACAATAAAATGACTAGCTAATAATTTTACTAAATTACTAGGCTATTCTAAGTAACCATAGCTAAAGTCTCCCAATCAGTCAGCAAAGGCTTTAAACCTGACACCCATCTTCTCCTCCTTTAACTAAAACATACACACCTACTTAACCCCCCCCCTTTCTATAACTTAAATCAAAGTCTCTGCTTCGTGATTGTATCCAATCAGCATATAGTCCTTAGTTCACAAGTCCACACCCAACTTGTAACTTTCCACAGTTCCTGTTTTTCGTTCCCAGGCTGGTAGGCCATTAGCAAGGAATTTTATGTTTATCAATCTTGAGATGTGGCCTTGGTGCTCTTCCACAACAACAGCCAGGCCTCTGGCCGAGACAAAACCCCTGCAAATCCTGGGGGGAAAGTACTACAAAACCCATATCGTCATAACTCCTTTGGCAATCACTGAGTGCTACCAGCATAAAAGAGTCCAGTATCTAGAGAAAAATACAGTTTTATTGGACGGGAAGATCATTCCCTCACCAGCTAAATTTATTGAAGAAGTGCAGTGTTAAATATCACACCAACGAAAGGAAAGTGACAGAAACAGTTTTGCTAAAACTAAACTCTAAAGTCTGGGAGTGCCATTCCATGCAAGCCTATTAAACTGAACTAATACGCATGGATTTTGTATATTTAAATGTCTTTTCCTTTTGTTTTTGTAAGAATGTTTTGTAAGAATGTCATAGGAAATCCTTGAACCTATTTTATTTGAAAGCAGACAAAAATTTTAAGACCTTTTGGGTTGAACGAAGGGGTGAAACAGTGCAACTAATAGTGATATTAACAGTGCAATCGTATACAGAATATGTTTAATCAGAAGTAAATCCCACTGAATTCAATGGAATTTATTCTCAGTTAAATGGCAACCAGTGCATATATTTCAGAATTGAGATAATATGATATCAGTAGCATATTTTCATTTTTAATTTTTCTCCAAAGGCTGTCTAACCTTCCTGATTTATAATCTGCACAGAGAGGTTAAACAAGATAGAGCTGACCTGGCTCTATGAATGGGAAGCATGCTTAGGAGCAATGACGTCACCCACCCTGGCAAATTCCATATTCTACAGCTTGACTAGGGTTTCAACAGTGTTACTGAAAAACAAGGCAGCAAACTCTCAAAGTACATTGAAGAAACTCTTCAAATCTATCAGGTGCCTGGGGTGAACCACCTTAACTGATCCACTACCCTTGCAGACATAGATGCTCTGAAAGTAACCAGGTAGTGACAATGATGTTGCACATTCTTCTGTCTCCAAACTAACAACTCCACCAAAAGAAAATACCAAATAAAGCGTAGACCCGACTGCATGTCTGGGGTTGGACATGAACTGGAACAGTCCCAGGTTGCCATCGAAGACATGAAATCCTGAAACATTCGAGACTGAGTTATATCTACAATGAACACTGAAATCACCCACTACTTGGAATCTAAAGCTAGTTATCTTCTCTTGAAAGTATGTAACATCATCTGTTTGTTGACCTTGTTGCTGCAAAAAAAATTATCTCAGACCAGCAGAAACCGAGTATTTTTCAGTGAATAATTTGCCAGGCAAACAATCTCATTTTGGTAAACTCTTGAGAAGTACTAATCAAAAAATGCACACCACCTGCTTCATGCTTTCTCTCCATAACAGTCATAGTGAGATAACTGTTTTACAACACTTAAGAGTCACACATTAGGTGGTGGTTTTTTTTTGAAAGCCATGGAATTTCTAACCTACCGGTAGGTTGTTCAATTAGAGCCCTGTCTAAAGCACGATGTTCTGCCTCACGTAAGTCTTGCTCAGCTGCCTTTAGATCTGCAGTCAATCGTCTTCTTTCCTCAAAGAGCTCCTGAAGTTTATGTTCTGCGAAATTATTTATGCCAGTTAATAACAGGAATCTACCTTGAATATTGATAAATTTATAAACAATATTTCTGACCATTTTAAATGCAACTATTTGAATTTTTGTTTTTTTAATGCCTCAATGAACAATGTAACTACTAACTACTTCACAAGATTATTTGGCCTGTAATGCATGGAGAGAAGCATCTAAAACCTAGTTGTGATGTGACAAAACATCCTCAACAAGAAAAATTCTGTAAGTACAGAATCAGCTTACTTAACTTTGTTTTCAATGTGATTAGTTTTTGTGAGCTATCTTGGCCAGATTCCAACTAAATATTTACACTGCCATAAAGGCAGCTGCATAACCTGGAGAAGCAAATAGCTGCTAATTACCGTGTTTCCCCAAAAATAAGACCTAACCTGAAAATAAGCCCTAGTATGATTTTTCACGATGCTCGTAATATAAGCCCTACCCCCAAAATAAGCCTTAGTTAAATGAAACCCCACCCTCCAACATTGTGCAGCATTCAGAAGACGACATGACTGGAAAATAAAATATCCCCTGAAAATAAGCCCTAATGCATTTTTGGAGCAAAAATAATATAAGACCCTGTCTTATTTTGGGGGAAACACGGTAATAATTGAATTCCTATTTGCAATCAGATGAATGATACGGCATAGATCTAATAATTAAGTGGGGAACATGTCAATTAGCAGCTGTTTGCTACTTGGAGGGCTCAATTACAATGCAATTTGTCCCACTGTGTATGCCGTTAATTTCAATGTATTTTCCACTCACTACATGATGTACAGAATACTGAAAGCACTTCTGATCCTTCTCTCTCGCCATTCATTACCCAGTACACCTCAAGAAGGAAAGGGAGGGTACAGTGTCAGGACATTTGTGAACCTAGGTTATTAATTATTGTTCTTTCAGTGTGGGAACTTTTTCCTGTTTAATTTTGTCTTGTCTTGCAAGGCAGGGATAGGGAACCATAACCTTTTATAATTTTTTTAACATAGATAAGCAAATTTTTTCTTTTTCATTTTTTTCTCTGAATATGGACTCCCCTGCCCCTCAATAATGCAACTATATAATCTCTTGGGGCACTATTCTCACAGTTTGGGCTAGGTTTTACAAATTCTGTGTTTCTAATCTAACATAACTATAACAGCTGTCTCATATTTACTATACGTTCAATTGGAATAAAATGATCTTAATTCTAAAATATGTTTAAACTATAATTGACAACATATGAAATCATAGCATACATACCACTGACACTGTCAGGTTGTATAGCTGCAAGAGCCTGAGCTTCCTGTATGGCTTTCAAGTTGGATTCTAAATATGACTGTAAAAGATGTTTTTTCTCAGATAGCTCATATAATGCCCTTTCTGCGAACAGAAATGTTTTGAATTATCTTTTGGAAAATAATGTTGAATATTTTTATTGTTCATGAATTTACACAAAATTTAGAATTTTTTTAAAAAAACTAGATTCAAAGCTGATTCATTTAAAATATAGTATTGGAGAAAAGCTTTCTGGATGCAATGGACCACCAAAGAGCCAAACAAGTGGGTCCTAAATCAAATCAAGCCTGAATTCTCTCTAGAAGCAAAAATGATGAAACAGAGGCTGTCATATTTTGCGCACATCAGGAAAAGACAAGGCTTGCTAGAACAGACTATAAGGCTGGGAACAGTTGAAGGCAACAAGAAACCAGGATTATCGAATAAGAGGTGGATTGACTCAACAAACAAGGTCACAGACTGGGTTTGTAAGAACTGAGCACTGCTGTAAAAGACAGAACTTTCTGGAGGTCACTCAGTGATCAGGTTGCCATGAGTTGGAGGCAGCTTGACAGCACATAATAACAATAATGTATCTTCGAATCTTTATGTACCTGCAAGTTCCAGCTGAGTTCTTTCTGAAACACTATGTACTTTTTGTATATGTTGCATAGTTGCCTGTAAATCTGCAGCCAAAGCTCTTCCTTGCTCCTCAAGTTCTTGTAGTTTGTGCTCTGGAAAGTAATGTCAGACCTGTTCATACCAAATACTAATATATGCTGAAATGACTGCACAAACACATCACTGAAATTAGTATACAATATTACAGTATTTGTAAATTTAAGTATTAACTGAATGTTCTAATTATTTCATTTAATTGAATGTTCTAATTATTTCATATACATCATCTTGGTAAGACAGATAACAACTGTAGAGATTTCGCAAGCATTCTAAACTCCATATTTTAGGTAAAGGTAAAGGTTGTAATCTTTGAGATGGCCTAACAAATGGTTCGTTAACCATTACACATTACATAAATAACTGTAAAAGAATAAATTTCAGTTGCTATACAAAAGTTGCACGGTGAGACACATAGCTGGATTGAAATAAAATTGATTTAATAATGCACAGATACACTTGTGGCTTTACCGTACTTAACATACCACTAATACTGCCTGGATGGGAAGCTGCAAGATTTCGAGCTTCTTCCAGCTCTTTCCGATTGTATTCCAGCTTTTCCTCTAAAATGTGCTTCTTCACTGACAGATCATGTAATTCCTTTTCTTTAAACAGAAATTATGTTAGACCTTCTTAACATGCGTTTAAAAGCAATAAAATGTTTCAAAATGCTAATAAATTTAACTGCACGAAAAAAGAACAAATAAAATGTTTATTAACACAAACTGGCTGGAATCCTATTGCATTTGGCATAGCATGAAGTTATGCCTACAGAAGTTCGAAGAGGGTTACATCCAGGTAGTCCAGATGTCTGATTACCAATCACCCTCTAATCTTCCATTCCTGGGCAAAGTATTGGAATGTATGGTGGTTTCACAGCTCCAGGGCTTCCTGGATGCGACAGATAACCTACATTCATTTCAATCTGGCTTCAGGCCTGGCTATGAGACACAGACTGCTTTGGTCACCTCGGTGGATGACTTTCCAGTTCCCTACACTGGGAACTGGACAGAGTCGTTAGTTATAGAATACCCAAAATGCATACAATAGTATAGAATATCTTCTGGGGCATTTGGGGATGGTACAGCTGAGAAAAAGTATTCTAGATCCGAGTTTCCCAACCTTGGGCCCCCAGATGTACTTGAACTAAAACTCCCAGAAGCCTTCACCACTATCTGGGCTGGTCAGGATTTATGGGAGAGTTCTAGACTGAAGAACAATGGCATGATGCCTAGTTTATATCTCCACATCTTCCGATAATGAATGTGAAACAGAAGAAATATCCATGCTCAGTGTCTTTTCTTTAACAAGGGAATTTACATACCAGCAGGCCTTCCAGTTAGAGCTCTTCCTGAAGCATACTGTTCTGCTTTTCTAATATCATACAAAGTTTCTTCTAGCTCTTTAGTCAACAGTTTTCTTTGTTCAGTTAGCTCTTGTAGTTTATGTTCTACAAAATAATGTTATTCCAATCCATAACAAAATACCAATGCATGTTTAAATAACTATGCTTTACAATTGTGCAGCACTCACTTGCTAGTTAAGTGTGGGCATAATTAATTCAAACTATATTTAGATTAGGGAAGGCTGCAATACTGTTATTACTCACTCTTGGAGATTTTAAACATTATTATTTGGAGATTTTAAACATTAATATTTGTATTTACAGTCCTAATTATGTACATGTGATAGGTCATCAAATCAGAACCTACTTATTGCATTCATATTGGACTTTCATGGTAAGTGAAATATTTAAGGGTAGGTTGTCTGTAGGAAAAGTAGGAAAGCTTGGAATCTGCTTAACTAAGTTTAATTTTTAGCATGTATACATTACTGAAACAGCGACATCTACGTACGCTGGCTTAGGCATGTCGTGAGAATGGCTGATGGTCGGATTCCAAAAGATCTTCTGTATGGAGAATTAGTGCAGGGAAAGTGCCCCAGAGGGAGACCACAGCTGCAATACAAGGATATCTGCAAGCGGGATCTGAAGGCCTTAGGAATGGACCTCAACAGATGGGAAACCTTGACATCTGAGCATTCAGCCTAGAGGCAGGCAGTGCAGCATGGCCTCTCCCAATTTGAAGAGACATTTGTTCAGCAGGCCAAGGCAAATAGGCAGTCCAGAAACCCAGCAAAACCAGGGAGCTGGTCAGGGGGCAGATTGTATTTGTCTTCAGTATGGAAAGGATTGCCACTCTCGAATTGGCCTTCTCAGCCACACTAGACACTGTTCCAAGACCTCTATTCAGAGCACGTTACCATAGTTTCTTGAGACTGAAGGATGCCTACACACAAGTTTAACATAATAGAAAATGAACAGATTCATTCTACACTTGGCCGGTCTGTACTAGACCACTGTAACTTTACTAGACTATTTCATTACTCTTTTCTGACAAAATTTCCTGATGAAGCAATCCAAAATAATTTGCAGCACTGATTAGTCTAAAAGCTACTTTTATGTTTACAAATAATTCTGTTAGCTTTGCTCAGACAGATATCTCCCCAGAAATTCCTTCTTTCCTTCCATAAAGGATTAACATAGCACAGCAGTCCTTCCAGCAAAGATAGTAAGCTTTCCAGTGGGACAGCCATCTGGATACAGGACACTGACAAAGAGGTTAAATGTCAGTTTCTCTCAGAACAATACTTACTTTCCATCAGCATTTAGCCAACACATTGCTGTACATAAGATAGGGCACAGGGAGTTTCCAGATATTTAAAATTCTACTTAAGCATTAGGACCTTTAGCTATCATTCTCTAGTCTGACAAGATTCATAGAGAAAGAAATGGCTGAAACCTCTTCACAGTATGGTAAGAAATTAGGATATTCTCCATCATTTGTCCTATGTTTAGTTGAAACTACAGTGAAGGAAGTAAGGTGAAGTTAGGATAGCTACAAGATTACATGACTTAGATCATCAAACTTCTGATGACATTAATATCAATATTTTGTTCTTTTTTCCTTTCTTAGAATTCAGTATGCTATTTTTTTAAAAAGATACTAATTATTTCAGATCTAAATCTGCCATGCAATTCCTATTGTTTCTATAGCAGCGTTGGACTGGGGAAAACTGAGGCCTATCCTCAGAGTGGGTAGCATGCATGGTGGAGAAGGCGTGTCCTAATATTTCAGGCTCTAGAAGATTCTGAGGATGGTCAAAAAACCTTTGAAGCTGTTACACTATACTTTATCAATAACATTCATAGAAAAGTAATTTTACCTCTTCTTTCTAGTTTTCCTGGTAGATAAAGTACTTATTATTGGCTTTATGATTACTGTAAATAGTTTTTAAATTGTAGTTAAGATAAGATCTCTGGCCAATTTTATTGCATTTTTAAAAAAGTTGCTGCTCTTGAATTAGATAGAGAACGCTGCATATATTCTCCATACTGTCTGTGCATGTAATCACTAATCTCTCTCACACACACATACTCACATACAAACACACATGACTATGGCTGAAATCCTCTTAAACAGTTACACAAAAGGCGTACGTTTTATTGGTGAATCATTGTAAGGTAAGAAATCTCTGTTGCATACTGAGTCGTGCAATTAAGTATGCAGCAGATAATGCCTATGGAAATTTCTTCATTTACAACAATTTTCCACTATGCGTTATGCCTTTTGGGTAACTGAGCAACAGGAATTTGGCCTATAGTTCATAATATGTGAAATCTCAGAATACCTACCACTTATACTGCCCGGCTGTGTAGCTGCAAGTTCCTGAGCTTCTTGTAGCTCTTTCTGATTGGATTCTAACTTTTCCAGTAATTCTTGCTTTTTTGAAGATAACTCATATAATTGTCTTCCTGCAAACAAAATATTTTTGAATCACCTTTTGACAATGGTTCTAAATATCATTACTACCAACAGAGTAATATAAAAGAAATATATTCTAAAACTGGATTATTTGCTGATCACAGATTTTAATATAAGGTGAATTTCTGACTCCACTAAACAAATATTATTATCATTGTTGTGGTTGTATACTGTCACGTCCGCTCCAACCTATGGCAATCCTATGACTGAATAATCTCCAAAATGTCGTGTTCTCAACAGCCCTGCTCTGCTCTTGCAAACTCAAGATTGCAGCTTCCTTTATAGAGTCTTGGATCTTCTTTTTCTGCAGTATTCCACCTTTCCCAGCATTAATGTGATTTACAGAGAATCCAGTCTTCTCATGTTATGACCAGAGTAGGACAGCCTCCTACTGTTATAACTCCATAACTGCAGTCCTGCTTTGGCACTTCTTTCACTTTCCTCAGAAGTCATTTCAAGTCATTACTGCTTTTTACCAGTCATCTACATATCTTAAATCATTGATGTTTCTTCCATAAATTTTCACTCCTCCTTCATCTGAACCTAGTTCAGCCCTCTGTATGATACGTTCTGCACACAGACTGAGCAGAGAAGAAGATAACATGTACACTCATCTGATATCTTTGCCTATAAGAAACCATTCTGTCTCTCCATATTCTGTCTTAACACTAGCTTTTTGTCCACAATACAAGTTACACATCAGAACAATCAAGTGTCAAGGCACACTCATTTCTTCTCGCATTAAAAATAGCAATTAGTGTTTAAGGTGTCACAACACTTTTGTCTTCTTTATATTTTTGTTTTGTTTTGGGCCTGATACTTTAAAAGCTAAGCATTTAAAATCTTCCACTTAGACAAATGTATCACTTTTGTCTGCTCCCACATTCTTATTTTTTAATGGTCTCCTTTTCTTTCTTTCTTTCATATTTATGTAAAAACGTACAAATTATTGGAAACTTCAAATCCTACTGTCTTTGTGTATGGTTCACGAGCTGCACAGTTGCAGAGAAAAAGGCAATTCAAAGGGTGATTAAGATGGCCCAAAACATCATTGACTGTTCACTCCTCTCTTTGGAAGAATTGTATCAGAACAGATGTAAGAGGAAGATATCTAACATACTGAAAGACTCCTCTCATCCGGGACATCAGCTCTTTAAACTATTACCATCGAGAAGGAGATTCAGGGTATTGAAAGCAAGGACAAGTAGATTCAAGAACAGCTTCTACCCAAGTGCAGTACTGAGTTTAAATGCGGGGTCATAAGTTTTTGGTGGAATTTTAATTGCTGGGAGAAACGGGGTATTTATATTTGTATGGTGAGTGTTGTGTATATTTTAACTTTTTTCGTAGTGGTGTTGTCCAGTTTTACCTTGGGGAAGAGCACCTCATTTCGTTGCACCCACTTGTGAGTGCAATGACAAATAAATTTCTTATGTCTTATGTGTTATGTCTATTTAGAAAAGAAATAAAAATAATGCATTAGAAATAGAGGACTATACATAAATTATCTTGTACTGATCACTGTAACTGAAAAGCCAATAAAGTAACTTATGTTTATAAAATTTCTACTTCAAGACCTAAAAAGAAGAATACATTTTGTCAGTCTAAGATCTGTTAGCGGAATAAAACATTGGCAGGAAAGCTCAGAAGTACTGATCTAACATGCTACTGCTATATGCACTAACCATTCTCATTTGCTTACTTTATTTCACTTTTCAGGAAGAAATGGCTTCAAAGATAATACAAACACCAATTAAAACAAAACAGAAAATGATTTGAGGAAATCAAAGATGCCAGCAGGAGGCATAAGTTCTTGCCTGGAGCTCTACAACAAGATATCACATTTGCCTCTTCTCCTCCTGCTGATGGACTCAATGGTGAAAATCATAACAGAACTTATAATACTAGAAAAAGATGCACATTACATGTCTTAGTAAAACTGAATATAATTTATCCTCTGCTTACCAGAGGGTCGTATGATTGCAACTCCTTCTGAAGCAAAATCCCGTGCTTTTTGTAACTCATACATAGTTGTCTCTAGATCAGCAGTCAAATGTCTTCTTTGCTTCATAAGCTCCTGCAGCTTATGCTCTAAAATTAGTTTACATGACTTTGTATAGGATATTAATATAATTTTAAATAATTGTATTGAATAGAATTTTGCAACAGTGATGCAATATCACATATAAATAATTTAATTTATAGTCCAAACTTTTAATATAAATTAATGCAACAATAACATCAATTATTGTTAAGTCTGTATTACATTATCTGAACAGGCTCTTCTTTAGTGCCAAGGCACACATTAAAAGTTTCATGATTTATGCTTTTAAAGAATCTCATCAAATTAAGACAGCCTAAATGATATTTAAAAAGAAATATTATATTCTACACACATCTAGATTATACCATATTTGCTTCAAATTGCATGTGAGGCTTGGTCAGAAAAAAGGAGGGCAGGTGCTTACTTGTAACTGGGGTTTTTTGAGTATTTATCTATGAACACACATCTACAAATACAGATATACGGGTCTTGTGCCTGTGTAGAGCCAGTGTTCAAACATTCTTGAATTGAGTAGCATTTTGGAAGCAATACTGCTCTATCTTCATGAAGTGCATGACCAACCACTCCTCACCTGCTTCACTCAAATATGAGTTCAGTATGATAATACTACAGGCATCTTCATGGAAAGGAGAGTGGATTGTATGAATTACATATAACCAGTCAAAGAACCAGTTACAAATAAACAACTTGCTCTATTGTCTCTATGAATCACACATATGGATGACTGGGCAGCTCACTCACTAGTAGTGGAATGGAAGAGGTAGCTGTGTTCGCCTGTGCAAGCATATCAGGCAAAAAGCTGTGTTCGCATGTACAAGCATATCAGGCAAAATAAAAAAAATACCAAAAAGGGGGAAATAAAAAGAAAGAGAAAAACATGTGGCACCTTAAAGACAACAATACCAAAAAGAGGGAAATAAAAAAAAGACAAAAAAATGTGGCACCTTAAAGACTAACCATTATATTTTGATGTAAGCTTTCGTGGATACGTCCACTTCCAGAATGCCATTCTTTAAGGTTAGCCTTTAAGGTGCCATGAGTTTTTGTCTTGTCTTGTTTTGTTTTTGTATTTTTTTTCCCTTTGGATTTTGGCTGGCATAGAAGTGAGAAGACAGACTTCCTGCTCTTTCTCCTACAGACCTAAACTTAAGCACTTCCATTACCTGCCCCAGGGTGGGGGTGGGGGAAAGGAGATACCTACACTTTTCCTGAGCTGCCTTGAGGGATGAAATTGTCTTAATTTGGGGGCTGTAAATAGAAACCTAGAGTCAAAGGTTCAAGAATGCTAGGGGAGAGGCTAAGCTGTTTGTGTGATTTTTAAAAAGTACGGTTGTTGTGGGGTTTTTTGGGCTCCTTGGCCGTGTTCTGAAGGTTGTTCTTTCTAACGTTTTGCCAGTCTCTGTGCCAGCATCTCCAGAGGAAAGCACTCTGTGCTCTGGTGCAGTTGGCTTGAGAGTGGAGTATTTATGGCTGTGAGATGGGCTTTTGTCTTTTTCTGTAGATGGGTGATTAGTGTGTCTTGTTGTGATAAGAAGGAGAGATTATCTGTCACTGTGGTTGATGGGTGTCATTAGCTGGTCTTTTGTGTGTAGTGATCCCCGTCCTTGTGGCTGGGCAGAGTTTGTTGACCTTTTGCATGCTGTTTTTTTTTTGAGAGCTGGGAGCCAAGTTTTGTTGAGTTTCAAACTTTCCTCTTTTTTGCTGAAGTTCTGCTGGTGCTTGTGGATTTCAATGGCTTCCCTGTGCAGTCTGATGTAATGCTTGCTGGTGTTATTCAGTATTTCAGTATTTTGAAATAGAATTTCATGTCCAGTTTGTTTTAGGGCATGTTCAGCTACTGCAGATTTTTCTGGTTGTTTTAGTCTGCAGTGTCTCTTACGTTCTTTGATTCTGGTGTGGATGCTTCGTTTTGTGGTTCCACTTTATACCTGGCCACAACTGCAAGGTATCCGATATACTCTTGCAGTGGTGAGGGGGTCCCTTCTGTCCTTTGCTGACCGTAATATTTGTTGTATTTTTGTGGTGGGCTTGAATACTGTTTGTAGGTTGTGTTTTTTCAAAAGTTTCCCCATGGGGTCTGTGGCCCCTTTGATGTATGGCAGAAATACTTTATTTGTGGGTGGCTGTTTTTCTTCTTCAGTTCGGTGTTGTTTTCTTGGTTTGATGGCTCTTGTGATTTCATTTTTGGAGTAGCCATTTGTCTGTAGGGCCCAATTCAGATGATTGAGTACAGTACTGAAAAACTGAGCTTCACAGTTCCGATTTGCACGGTCTACCAGTGTTTTGATTATGCCTCTTTTTTGCTGTGGGTGGTGGTTGGAGTTTTTGTGTAGGTACCGGTCTGTGTGGGTGGGTTTTCTGTAGAAAACTGTGTCCCAGTCGGAGGTCAGTTTTGCGTAGGACCATGACATCTAAGAACGGGAGTTGGCCCTTCTGAACAACCTTCAGAACACAGCCAAAGAGCCCGAAAAACCCACAATAACCATTAGATCCCGGCCGTAGAGCCTTCGCGAATACAAAAAAGTACATTGATATACATGGATGTAGCAAAATGAGACAAATCAAAGCCTTATTGGTCTTGGGTTTCTAACAAATCCCAGTGACATATTTCACAGACACATTAGCACAGTTTTCCTGTTCTAAGAAAGGGCAGAGGCTTATACTGGATTAATAGGTTTGTCTTCCATGTTTCTGCTAGAAATTGACAGAGATGGTTAAGTTACCAAGAAGGGAGGCTATATGCTAAACCTCTCTTCGCTTATCCACAGAAGAAAGGCCCAATTCTCAGACAGTACAGATAAACAAAGTTTTCTTTACACTGAAATAAGGCATGGAGGCTAAGGTCAGTATAACATTTCAGATGAGCTGTTTGGCTTATGGTCTTTGTGTGGTGGTTGGTTCTATCATGGCTCTAAACCATGATAGAAGCAACCACGTACAAAGAAAAGGAAACATTATGATTGAAGCAATTTCCCCCAATGCAAAGATATTCATGTGTCGTCACACAAAATACTGGCACACTGGTGTTAGTGTGCAACTCAACATTTCCCTGTCAAAAAGCTAGTCCCACACAAGGAAGGTAGGTGTAAAAAAACCCCACAATTTTCATCAGAGAATTTTCACTCTAAATTGTCTACTTGGATAAAAAGTGAATATAAATATAGATACATTTTGCGAACAAACGGTTCACGAAGCAAGGACCTAATCAACTTAAAGTGAAAATCCCCCATAGGAAACATCGTTTTGCAATCGCAATTGCGATCGCAAAAAGGTCATCGTCAAGCGATTTCGTCATTCAGCAGGGTAAGCGTCTAGCTTACTGTATACAGATACCACTGTATACAGATAGCAAGCTTTCTGGAGATAACAGGATCAAGAGGTAGAACTGCATTGTCAGTGAATAGTCATTTTTTAAAAAGTTGCCAGAATGGAAAAGGGTAGCAGTCTGTAACATTCATTTTTGTACAAAAGACAACATGGAACCTTAACAACTATAAAGATACAATGCTCAGAGTCACCATATACTCAGATTGTCATTGACAGGAAAATAAATCACAGCATACAGTACGTACCACTGATGCTGCCCGGTTTTATAACTGCAAGTTCCTGAGCTTCCTGTAGCTCTTTCCGATTAGATTCCAGCTTTTCCAACAAATCTTGCTTCCTTGAAGACAGTTCATCTATCTCTCTTTCTGCAAGTAGAAGTGTTTTTTTAAATAGTCTTGACAAACAAGTTCAAAAGTCATTATTGTTCAGAATATAACCCAAAAATTATGTTTTTCTGGAAAGTGTCATTTTGGCCGAAGTCTGTGTAAATACAATGGCAAAAAACAGCTAGTTGTCAAATTCTTAAGTCTGAAATGGCATTTTAGAAACTCATAAAAACTAATTAAAAATTAAATTCCTCAGCAGTGCTTCACATACCTCACCCAGTATTAAATCATTGTACTGGGGTGGACTTCCATGCCTATCTGGATCTAGGTGGAATGGAAGGGATTCCAACTGCTACTTTTGCTCCTGATGAGCTTAATTATTACAGTGATAATTAGATTCACAACATCAAAGCAATTTCAAAAAATTTATACTCTTCTTACCAACAGGTTGTAGAAATACAGTTCTTTGCATTTCTTCCAAAGTTGATTCAAGTTCTGCAGTCAAGTATTTATTTTGGTCAGCCAGCTCTTGCAGCTTTTGTTCTATGGATTTCATAACAAAATACTAACTAAATTGGATATAATATGGTAATGAATGTTGACTGTTCCTTGAATTTTTCCAACTACTTCTGCTTAGAATTTATCTAAGTCAAGCAGCAACTCAACATTGCTCACTGACACCTCCCTTGCAAAACACTGCACAGTCACACCGGACAGTATTTTTAACATTGTTTAGAGAAGAGATATTTCTTCAATGTACAGTATTTTTTTTACCTACATAGCTTGCAATTGCTGTGCTTTGCTTCCAGATTGGCCATTACAGGTAAACAAAAGCTTTGATAAATCTGATTGCAGCGGCATGCATTTCCGAAGAGAACCCATGGTGGAGAAGGAAATGGGTTATTCACAAGGAAAAAGCATTTCCTTTAATGTTTAGTCTGACACACACACACTTAGCATGTCCTGCACAGCTTCCTAAGTACTAGGGATAATTTGGTGATTTCCCAGAAACCCAAATCCTCCTCCTGATCTTCTTCCCAAATTCTTTTGGAGGGTGCCATCAACAAGATAGTCAACAACTAGCAACACTCTTTCCCAGTCTGGTAAGTGTTTGTGGTGATAGTGCTGCCTGTGAAGACAGCATTTTTATCTTTCACAGAAGTCCTATTCAGTCATTATTAAGGTAGATACACTCATCACTGGTAGAGCAGAGCACACTAGCCTCACTTCTTCTATTTCCAGTTTCATAGCTCTCCCACATATACAGTGGGGTCTTGACTTGAGAACTGAATCCGTATTGGAAGGTGGTTTTGAAGTCAAAATGTTCTCAAGTCAAATCTGCATTTCCCATAGGAATGCATTGAAAACCATTAGATCCGTATCTGCTCTTTTCTGTCCATAGAAACTAATGGGAAGCTGCTATTCCGCCTTCGACCACTAGAGGGGGATATTTTGTTTCTTTTTTTTCTTAGGTCAAGAAAGGTTCAGGGAAGGCAGGGAAAATACAGTCCAGGCAATACAGTCCCAGGCAGTCCGACGACTGTCTCCCAATCCACTCTCTAAACGCTGGGAGGAGTGAGGAAGCAGACCGGCACCCTTTTCACTAGCCAACAGTTAACTGAAAGTTCAAATTTTGCACTTTCCCTGCCTCCCACGTGGTTTTTTTTCAGTTCTTAACTCAAATCTAAGTACTTAAGTCAAGTCAATATTTTCCTATGAGAGCGGTTCTTAAGTCAAAATGTTCTTAACGCAAGCCGTTCTTAAGTCAAGACCCCACTGTATAAAATTATGAGTCTGAAAGGGAGAGACCGTGATACCCATGGGGGCTCTCCACATGAGTCAGAATCAACGTTTCCTCCAATTTTTCAGCAGTACTGAGTGGGGGGGCCCACCCCACAAGTGCAGGGTTCTGGATATAAATATGCTTGGCAGTTAAGTACTTTAATTTCAAGGACATATGCTGAAAGTGGTAGCTACAGTGTGAGAAATCACAATATACATACCATTAACACTCCCTGGCTGGGTAGCTGCAAGTTCCTGAGCTTCTTGTAGTTCTTTCTGATTAGATTTCAACTTTTCTAGTAACTGTTGTTTCTTTTCAGATAGCTTATACATTTGATACACTTCCAATTCTGCAATCAGAAATGCTTCTGAATGATTTTTTGAATTCTTGTTTCAAACATTCTCATTGCTGACTAAGAGTGTGACTACACTGACAATATTTGCATCAGCTTGATTCACAGTCTCATTTGAGGCTGCATTCAGTTTACGTGACCACATGAAGACTCCAGCTTGTTTCTGAGCTAGTGACCACGCTGGCTTCTCAATCCAGTGTAAATTCAATCCATGCCCATACTCCCCCTTCCATCGATATTGCCCTCCTGCTAATCCCCAGCTCTCCTTTTATGGTCTGCCCTGAAGCCATGACAGTTTAAAAGTAGGGAAAAAGGGACAGTTTCCCAAAGCTTTCCATGCACTATAAGTGCACACATATACCATGAAAACACTGCAGTCTGCTAGAGTTTATCAGAGTTGTTTTTATTTTATATCAATTTTATATTTCTTTTTTGTCTGTGTGGAGGTGGTCTAGCACTAAATTAATGTAGTAATGCAGTGATAAGGTGATCTAGTGCTAGAGCCAATTTTTTTAAATAAACAAAAATATTTTGGGGAGACTAGGGAGAAAGGTTGCACTATCCCAGAACATCACACCTCAACTTACTACATCACCAGAAAACCACCCAAAGGACACTTGGTCCTTTTGTCAAATGAAGCAATCACACAGACAAATCATTGTTTAAATTGTTGCAGTTACAAAAAAGTTGAAACCCTTAGCAGCAGGAGAAAAAAAGTCCATATTGGAAAGAACGGCTAGACAGCTCAGTGTCTTAAGTATCTGGCTGTGAAGCCAGAGACTGGGAGTTCAATTCCCAGCTCACTGGGAGGTATAGTGGGGAATCAGCTGGAAGGCTTCCCTCTTCACTTTGCTTAATCTATGTCTCCTTTAACTACAGAGTGATACATTCAGAATAGTTCACTTCTTCCCCATCTGAGCTACTCCTTTAGTTTAATGAGGGATTAACAGGAATCCTTTTATTTGTTTTTATAATTATATATATGTGGTCTCACTAAATGCTGGAGAACTATTACAAGGCAATAGAATATTGGCAATTCATCTAGTTAGTAATGGTTGCCATGTTTAACGATGCCATGTTTAAATAGCAGAAATTAAACAGAATAGCCATGTGATCCATATGCAAACAGATGAAAAAGGACCTCCTGACACATGGAAGGATTTTATACATATATTTGACTAGAATCTAGAATACGTCTGGCACAAACCTTAAATTGAACTTACAACATTGCCAGAATGTGAACCTTATGAACCAGTTTAACAAAATCCAACATCACTGATTTTTTATTTACCACTGGGTCTTGCAAATAAAGATCTTTGTGAAGGACGACGCATTTCTTGTATATCAGTCACAGCTGCCTTCAGCTCTTCAGCCAAATGCTTTCTTTGCTTAGTTAGTTCCTCCAATTTGTCCCCTACAAAGGTATTTCAGACCACTTTATCAGAAAATATTAAAATATTAGAATATCAAAACACTTTGGAATAATAATGTTTAATATGGTTTTTCCTTTAGATGTTCTGTCAAAATATTGCTCTCTCCCATGTCAGAACCAAGATGGAAAGGTTGTCTATTTCCGCTTAAGGTCATGTTTCCTTGCTGAGGTCATGTTTTAAGTTAATGACTCATTTAAAGAAGTATTTTCAAATTTAAAACTTGTTACTGCTGAAACAATAACCATCTTTTTAAAGAAAAAATTCAACCAATCTTGAAAGTCATTCAATATATTCTCTTATATTGGAAACAGAGATCATGTCACCCTCCAGAAGTTGTTGAACTGCAATTCTCATCATATCATATCATTACCTATACTGGCTACAGCTGATGGGAGTTCAACATCATCTGGAGAGCAATACCTTCCCAATCTGTTTTACATGCCTGAAAAAAACAAAATCTGTCGAGTTTTTCTTTTCTTCAATCCATTACTTTCAAAATGGCTGTAAATAGATTTCCAATGGAAGGGGTAATTGCTGTGTCTGTATACACTCCGTCAAATATATGTAGACTAATTCTAATTTAACCTGTGTGTTTGTCATTTACCATGCCTATCTTTTTCCGTTAATCCAATTTCAAAAGATTTTAGTCTTTGTAGATCATGCAGATTTGTTTCTAGGTTTGCAGCCAGCAGTTCTCTTTGCTTTAGCAGCTCCTTTATTTTGTTTTCTGTAGAAAGAAAAATAGGAAAAAGAAAAATAGAAACATTTTTGTGCTTGCAGTTCTTTTAAATAGTTCAAGAGGTGGGCTTTGGAACCAGAGATATATGTGAAAGAAAGTAGTCAAAGAGCAGACACTGAAATGAAAAACTGTTTAAAAAATAATCAGAAAGCAAGACTCAAAGGAATACTGTATGTTGTTATAAGCTTAACAAATTACTTCTTTCACCATCTGAATCCTCTTGATTAAGGTAGCATTGGAAAATAATTATGAGATACTAAAGAAAAAATATTATTTGAATTTTTTCCATAAATTAGCTTCTCCTGGAATGAAGCTGGACCATCTTTCTAGTTCCACAGCCCACACTGCAAATTTTAAATTGGGCTACAGGTCTCACTCCCAACATCATTCAGACATAAAGAGTAATGATCATAATGACTTCATGACCAAAGCAAACGTACGAGCCCATTCTGAAATTGCAGAGTGAAGTGGAATCCCTTCTCGGACAAAGAACACTACTGTACAGAATATGGAGTGACTTTGCATTGCTTTCTTGTGTTCTGAAAATGCATCTCTAACTTTTTAATAGTAATATGCACATGGATTCCTCTCACCTCATCACTGGTTTCTTTCCCAGAGTGAGTGGAAATTAAAGGAACTAGAAGAGCCTTTACTTTGGCAAGATGTTTGGTCCTCCCCTCTGCTGCACTAGAAGGGAAGTATAAAAATGCTGCTTTTGCTGAAAGGTTATGCTCCTGCCACCTGAGGGAGATCGAGACCATACAGTATATGTTCTTCACCTGCCCATTGTATGAAGCAGTGCGAAAAGAGACTATAACCCCCTTAATAGATAGTGTGCAACTCTGCCTCTTTCCATGCAGCTTTCCTCCTCTGCCCAGCAATTGTTTTCAGCCCCTTTGGTTCCGGTTGCAACAGAACCTTGTGGGGGGGGGGAGTCACATGTGCACTCAGGAGTGAAGTCACATACGCAAATAGCAGAGCCCTGCCAAGCGACGCTGAAAGTTAGACGTGTACGTTGCCCACTGCTAAACAATGAATTATTACACTAATGAATAGTGTAATAAGTCATTCTCTTTCAACTGAAGAAGGAAATCAAAGGTGGTTTCTAAATTCATTATAGTATGTGGTGCTCTGACAAAGTATGCAAACACAATAGATTTGTTCCATTTGTGCTTATAAGAGTAAACGGTTGATGAATTTCTCAAAACTATCAAAGCTGGAACATTCTGAAGATTGCTCTGCACAGGCACAAGACTCATATGTGCAAGTCACCGAGACCATAAAGAAGAACATAAACACCTGACACCACTTACCATTCCCTTCTGATGGCTGAGCAGTTGCAAGAGCCTGGGCTTGTTCCAAATCTTTCATGTTTGATTCCAAGCTTGCAAGTAATAGGCTTCTTTCTTCTGACAGCTTATTAATTTCTCTGTCTAAAAAAGGAAAAATGACTGTAACACTATTTTATACTGAAACAGAACACTGGCTTATACTGAAACATAGCAGTTAGTATTGGATCAAAACAACAAAACAACAGCTAGATTAAAGCAGTGTTAACATACCTTTGTAGAAAATTTTATACTTTTATAATACATTTTAGTTAGCCATCCTTCAGTTAATGTTTCTGAATCTGAAACCTACCAAAGTCTTCCTGAGTAGGTTCAACAGCAGACTTTGGTTGTTCAACATCTTCTAAGATTGATTCTAGATTTCCAAGTAAGAATCTTCTTTTCTTTCTCATTTCATTAATTTCTTCCTCTAGGAAAAAAGAAAGCTTTACATCTAGCCACAGTATCAAAGAAATTAAACATTTTGCTAATGCAATGCTGTACTATAGCACTGTATTACTGTATCATTATAATTTATCAGGTAGCACATCAGTTATGCCTATCCTAAGCACGTACTTGTTGCATTGTCTCAGATACTACCTGACTCAGATACTACCTGACTGGCCAGCTTCAGGAACCTGTATTTGTTGCAGATGGTGTAGATTTGATGCAACATTTTCAAACAACTTTCTTTTCTTCTCTTTCTGTTCTTCTTCTTCTTTACCTACATGGAGTGAAATATCTAAGGGATCACATCATAGAAAAAAGGTACCCCCACACTTTTATTCATGTGATTCATCTACTGCTTTTAAGTTCTTGTCCAACACTATACCACAATGGCTCTCATAAAGCACTTTAATAATAAATGCATATTTTAAATAATACAATACATTATTCTGAGATCCATAGTGCCTTATGTCATGTGCTATTATTTGGTTTAAAAATTCTCACATTCTCTCTCTCCTAATATGTTCTCTCTTGCCACCCACACCTTCGACCCTTTTATATACATACATCTTGAACAGATAATGAAAATATAAACATTGCTTTTATCACTGCATTATTTATAAGCTTTCAACACATACTGGCCAGTTTTACCTTGTAAAGTTCTCTAATTTAATTTTCAATAAATTAGGGGATTTGGGCAAGTGCTTCTTGAAAAATAATCCAAACACTGAATGCAGAAGTCAGCAGGGAGAAAGACATGCCTTCTGCTTGATCTAAAGACTATGCGCAATTGTACCTATCTAGCTGATTGGTAGTCTCACCACTCTGGGAAGAAAATCAGGAAAGAGTAAACTTGCACTGAACTGCTTTCTCCTCTCTAAAATTATTGAAAAGTTTTACCAACTGAAGTGGCCCACTGGCTCCTTCTTGGGTAACAATTAGAGATGTATCACAACTATTTCTCAAGTTAAAACTTCACTGCAAGGACTGAGAGAGAGTCCTTAACTGCAGTCAGGTTGTACGCTTTGTACATTGTTATATGCTAGCAGTAGTTATAGAGTGGAAAAATAACAAATACTGCAATAATGAAATATGTGAAAGAGTATGCAACAGCAAGGCATGTCCCTTCACACCTGAATCTTGTACAAGGCCATAATTATAGATCAGATGTATTGGTTTCTTCACTTTTATATGTGCAGATTCAGCCATTCTGAGAACCATGTTGGAATATAATCAAATACCCTCTAATGGCAATAATGAATTAACATCCCCCAATGAGAAAATAAAAGGCAAGAGTGATCCTGGTGATAGTTTTTAGTTGTAATCTCATTTTGCTGAATTTGAGTCTCAGGAAGAACAGCATGTGTAACTATCATTGAGGCTATTAACAAAACTACAGTAAGACTGCTAGTTCCAAGGAGGGTGGGAAAGCCACTGGAATGAAAAATACTGATGGCATGGTATGAGGTCTCTGTTATGATAATGATGTCAATTGCATAGTAAGACAGGCAACACAATCTGGTATTGACTGAGGTTAAGCACATATTATGTATCAGGGGAACCACAGTCAATACACATTTAATGAAAGGAAAATAAATCTCAGAGAAGCTGTTCTGAGTACCTACGGCTGTAACATGGATGGTCAGCTTTCCCATTATGGCAATGTGTCATATTTTGAATACGTAACTATTGTGGGATCAGGAGTTATTGGTAGAGTTTTCAATTTGAGGCAATTAGTCTTGCTACAATATATGAAGTTTTTAAAAAAGTAAATTTAGAGTAGGCATAGGCACCTGTGGTGCTGCGTGGGCCCAATTCCCTTCCCCAGAACCAGCTGGCTCATTCACTGGGCTTGGCATAGAGGCGGGGTCCTTTGTTGTTGCAGCACCAAACACGTCAAGAGCCCAGCTGGATTTCCCCACCTCCTTGCATAGCTGACCACTGATAGCCGAGTCGGGAGACTCTCTGTTCTGCCTCCTCACCAAAGTGGTCAGCTGCACAGGGAGGCAGGGAAAGCCAATGGGGCTCCTGCAGTGATTGGCACAACAATGAAGGACCCTAGCACTGTGTGGGGCCTGATGAGTGGGCTGGCTGATTCTGGGAGAGGAAACTGGGCCCTCACAGTACCTGTGGTGCTATGGGTCTTTTTTGTATCCCCAGAGACACAAATACAAATACAGTAGCCCATGTCTAATTCAGAGTATGTGCTCAGATATGCAAATACAGTAGTTGTAATGCCAGTGTCCTTCGAGAGTATGTGCTCAAATATGAGGATAATACAGTAGTTGTAATGCCAGTGTCCTTCTCAGCCACACAAGACACTGTTACAAGACCTCCATACAGAGCACGATACCATAGTCTCTCGAGACTGAAGGATGCCTATACAATGCCAGTGTCATATCAACTGATCGGTTGCCTATAAATTCTACTACTTTGAAATTTCTTCCTCCACCCCAAATTGGTGGGTTGTTGAGTAATACTATTATATGTGCAAGTGCCAAAATTCCCACAGTGCTAGCAACACCTGATGGAAACATTATTATCACAATACCTCAGTCTGAATAATGAAAGGCGCCACTATGAATTATTTTTAAATACTGTTCCGATAGCTAATAGGGAGCTGCATGGAACCCTTTGTTGCACTTTCTGTTAAGTCACTCCCAGCTTTCCTCTCCCTAGCCCCTACTGTGGCCTCACCGATTCCCTACTGTGACAGGAGAATAATCTGGGTCAGTTCAAGCTAGTGAGGCTAACCCCCTTGGGTCCCACTTCTAGCAAAGAAAGAGGAAGATGGTCCACTGCAGTGCTCATTGCTGAAGATCAAGGTGTCTGTAGGATTTGTGACATACTAGTATTATGTGGCTTTTATGAAGGAAAGTGGTAGCTAGCAGGGTAGCTGGGGGTGAAATCTAATCTCTAGAGTAATAGCATGTTGCAGTGGTCAGCCTTCCAGACATTTCTGGAAAGAGAAAATGAGAAACCAAGCCTTCTCAGCAGTTGCTCCTTGACGGTGGAATGAACTTCCTCCTGCAATTCGTCTGGCCCCTTTGCTGGCAGTTTTTAAAAAGTCACTAAAAACCCTGTTATTCAGGCAGGCATTTCAAAATATAATACCTGCAGACTTTGCTGAAATTATCTAGCCTTAATTTGACCAATACCATTATTTTAAATGTTTATTTATGTAAATGTATTGTAATACATTCTGATTGTATTATTTATTTGTATTATATTATCTTTACTTTGTTTTGTTGAAGTGGTATTTTAATTATGCTGCTGCTGTGTGTATGTTGTAAACTGTCCAGGGTGGCCCTTGGCCAGATGGGCAGTATAAAAATGATATGAAATGAAATTGTTCTCTGTTCCATAGCACCTGCCAATAAGAAGTCTCTGTCATGCTGGCTATGTCTTTTTCCCATGCATGTTTTAAGGCCACTGTATCACAATATAAGCTAACATGTTAATATTGTAAGGTTTAGATGTAATGCCTTTTATTCCCTTTTCAGAGTAAGAGATCAAAGACTTTAAAAGTTACAAAAATCCTCTCAGTTAGGCCTGTGGAAGGCAAATAGCATAAATTGCAGAGGCATCTCACTGATAATTAATGTCCTCAAATGGATTTTCAAATGCATACCTAGCTTGGGGGTGAAGATGTGCCTGAAAATCCAAATGAGGATTGGTTAATTGCCATAAAGATGCAGCAGAGCAAATACCCAGATCTACCTGTTGAAAAATTACATTCAGTTGATTGAATAAAATGAACAAAAAAGTAAAAAAAGTAAAACTAACATAGTGGAGCATTCAGATAACTGTCTTTATTAGCTCTTTATACTACTAACTGTTCACTTACCAGTTTGCTGTATTTCATCTGGAGTTACCAGTTCATTTAGTGTCTGCAGTAACTGAAGTTTTTGTCGATCTGATAATTCATCTATCTCATTGACAAATGTAGATTACAGAATTATTAGTGAATGTAATTACTGACATATTTTGATCACATATTATTGATAGGTTCGATTACATTAAAATGCCACTCAAATCGTTGTGTGATTTACCAAAATAATCTGCAGAACATACTACTTTTTCTGCAGAAAAGCCAGTTATTAATCCTTCTTAGATGAATTAATGTTATGCAGTAATTAATCTTACACATGTGCTGTTTTAAAAATCCTGTTTTTATGATGACTCTGTTAGCTCGATATTACCAGGCGATTTTGTAAACATTTGTTCAAATAGTTGCAAAGCATACCCTTTACTAATTGGACAAAGAATTAAAACAACAGTAGCATGTTGTTCTCAAACATTTCAACTAACTCAGAGCAAATTCTGATCTCAGCATCCTGTGGACAGATGTCAAGTTTAATGTCTGTGATCCCTTCTTACTGTCATTCAGTTCAAAAAAAAGTCTATAAAAACTGTAGCCCTGGAAGGCAGAGGGGTAGAGAAGTCTACTAAATAGGCTACAACCTTTCAATGGTCACCCCAAGCACGGACTGTGCTCTAATATTTTAAGGAGCTCTGATTAGTACTTACCCATGCTTTTGCCAGGCTCTAACAAGAGTTTAGCCAATGTTTCTGCCTCAGGCATCCCTTCTAATTCTTTCAAATTATTTGCAAGCTGAAGCATTGTTTTATTGATCCTATCCTTAGTTTCAACATCTATGAAGAAAGATAATCATTTTTTTCTTTTAGAAATTATTAGTGTCCAATGTTCCTCGGCAACAGACAAAGTTAAGTTTAACAACAAAATAGTTTTCTATGTGAATTCGGAAACATGATATATTTTCACATACTTATTACTACAACATGTATAACTTCTGCATATATTTGATGCAAATACATTTTATGACAAAAATATATCAGCAGACATCCCAAAACATTTCTGTGTGATGATACCACAGTTTTTGTGATCTCAACACGACTCCTGCAGCAGCTCAATTTCTTGTTCAAATAACAGGCAAAATATATTAATTTTTCTCTGTGGAGTTATACTTCCAGAATTTCTAAAGACCATTATTACTTTAATTGTACTTTCCCAAATAGAGGGAACATACTTTGGAGCCAGAAAGATCGCAATTCCTATGCACATTTACTTTTGAAATGGAAAAGTGGAGTATTTTTCTGTTTTTCATCAATGACCTAGATCCAGTTGTTAGCAGTAGAGAAAGTGATATACAGTGTACAACTGAGGATCGGGGAAGCCAAAAAACAAAAAACAAACAAAAAAAACATTGCTTTTATTGAGTCTGACACACATTTATTACACATAGGAGCAAAGAATCATCAGAGCTTAGTCCTCCAATGCACCATGAGAAATTCTGGACTAATGATCTTTACACCTGAATTTGTCTCCACCTAGACATCATTTGTCACCCTTTGGAACACAAAAATCATAAAATAATGGAATCATATAATAACTGAGTTGGAAGGGGCCTATCAGGTCATCACGTCCAACCTCCTGCTCAATGAAGGGAAAAGCCAGTTGATCTATTTTGTTATCATTGCTGGCAGGCATGTACAACCATGGAACCTTTTGCAGGTGTACTGCAGACTCAGGCATGACAAATGCTTGTCTATCAGCTAGGTATTCATCTCTGCTGATATAACACCACCTCCATTTTTTTCCAACAGCCCCATATCCAACCTTTGGTTCAGCTAAATAAATTAAAACTTAAAAATAATTTAGGAGTTATGTTCTCAAATAACATTGAGCTAGATTCTTTTAGTTATATTTAACAAATCAAAATAATAATTACCTCCATATCTTACATCTATGGGAACTCCTGGAATTCCTTCTTCTGTTAAAATCTATTAAGAAAGAAAAATTATAAGACAAACAACAATATTACTCTTTGATGTGTATCTAAGATCTGCCAATCTGAGTGAAAGAAGAAACACTAAGTTTTACCCATTTGGATTCAGCTGTAGTTTAGAGTTTCTTTCCATCACTCCTACTACATTTATAGCCCTGTTTCAATCAACATGCCATTGCAATGGCTTCTAGTATTAGAGACCAAAGTTAACTTGATCATTAGTCATGTTAGTCTGTTTCACCATGTATAACACTAGCAAAAACATAACAAAAGCAAAACAAAATAAAAAAATAAAAACAAAACTATTGACACATCTTAAAGACTACCATGAACTACATGAACTACAAAGCCCTTCACTCAACCCTGAAATAATCTCCTAATTGTCAAGGTGACACAATAGTTTATTTTAATTTTCTATTTTTTAATAATAAAAAACTCTACATTCACTTTTTACATAAATACATAAATAATAAGTATATACAAACAGAGGCACTATTTTTCTGTAACTGGACCAATAAGAATTCTGCCATAGGGTGCAGCTACATTAGCATCAGGAAGCAAGCTAGTGTGGGCTGTTTTTGGAATGGTTGGGCTTGATTAGAGTGATCTAATCAAGTCCTTCTGTTCACACAGAAATCAATCCTGTAGCCCATCTTTGCCTTCTCTTAAAGGGCTGGTCAAGAAATGAGAGTTAGAGAAGTCAGTTAGGGTTAGAGAAATCAGCAGTTTCATGTGTCACAACATTTTCGTCTTAATCTTTTATTTTTCTTTTAATTTTAACTGTATAGTAATACTATAATGAACTTAAGTATTTTAAAAATATTTTAAATTATATTGTAATTGTATTGTTTTATCTCTATTGCAAACCACATTGGATTCTAGTTTTGAGAGAAAGGCTTATAAATGAATGAAATAAATAAATGCATGATGTAGTCTGGATAGAGTTAGTATACTCCTACTCCTCCTCATTGTGTATGGATTATCAACACTCAATTCATGACTGAAGAGGGTTTTCTTTTGCTACAGGTTTATACCTTTCCTGAAGTAAGAACTGCTGGTATCCCTTCCATGGTATCAGTGGGTTCCGGTGTCACTACTATACCAACTTCCGGTCCTGTTTCAGACACTCCCATAATTTTTTCAAGTTCAGCTGACTCTTCTACTTGAAATTTTGGAAGTGGTTTCTGCTCACTGCTGAGTGAATCCTCTTTTTCTTCTTTGGTATCAAATTCAGGGGACATCATAATTTCTGTTTTTCTTCTTTTAGAGTCAGGTGGAAGTGTTTCTTCTGGAGATGTATCTAAAGTGACTGGCAACATTTTCTTAATTTCTGTGGAATCAGGTAATTGCTCTTTTTCTTGAATAGGAGGTGGGATTTCTTTCCCTGTCCTTTAAGAAACAGAAATTATTAGCTTATTTAAACACATTCTTCACACAAATTAAATGATACTAACAGAACTATTTCATTCATCCACTGAGTTATATATTGTTATGACTGGGTAGCCATAAATGGCATTGGGAAGGCACATACTTAAAGCACTGTCCCTTCATGACAACCACAGCAGAAGGAATGGGGGGGCAACAGTATTACTATTCATACTAGCCTGTCATATCTTGCCATTTAAAATATCTTTACCTCACTAATAACAAAAGAAGAGCAATTTGTTATGATCCAGACTGGCAAAGCTGAAGTATCCAACTCAAGTCAAACTGAGGGGAATCCAGCATGGACTCAAGAATCCAAAACTAGTAGCTCCATTCTGCTCCAATCCACCTTTGCAATGCCTCATTTCAAAGTGTAATGCTGCTATTCTAGCTGGAATAATGGTAATGGTAGCTTTCCACCCATTTAGCTGTCCATGTTAGAAGTGGAGAAGGATGCAACAGTACCCTTAGGCTAAAGAGCAGGCACCTTTCAGTGTTCCCCCTCTTGTCTGGTCTGTCTTCTTCTTTGCCTTGACTAAAGTTATCAGCGATCACTCCACATCACCAACTTCCTAAAGCATATATCCTACCAGCTGCTTCCCAAGAAATATTTCTCTCTCCAAGTGGAGCCCACACAATAAAATGTCTTTCCTTTTCACTCTTATTCAAGAAGCACACTTTCAGGCATATGAAAGTATATCAGGAGGATCTGTGGCAGCATACTATTCTCCACTGTCCCCTGTCAGATCCCACCTCCTTCTAGAAAGTAACATGATCAGGGCCACTGCTTAAGACAACCTGACAAAATTCATATTCTTTATAGGCTTACAGAAAATTAATTTACCATGCTCTTGCTACACTCTATTAAATGCAAATAAAAGCAAATGTATTGGTGCTTAAATTTCTCATTTAATGGAGGTGTCTCAGTTTACAAGCACAGGATTTTCCGAGCAACGTTTTTCCAATGTTAAAAAGAAATCAAGGAAAGAAAAATTCCTGCATTTTCCTCATATTTGTTGACTGTAAAACAGTGTAAAACTACGGCTGAGCATGATTCTCTCAATCTGCTCTAGTGCCAGCTTGTGCTTTGGATCAGAATCTGAGTGTACAAACCAGTCTACTTCCCCTTCAGTATGGACCCTTATCTGGACTAATATTCAGATTTTCCAATATATGGAGCATTTGTTCACTTGAATGAGGGCATACAAATAGCTATATAGGAGAAGTCACATTACCATGGAGCTTAGTAACATGGTTGACCTGAAACTCACAATTCACCATGCCAATCACAGACAGGCAGTTTTTCATAGAATCATAGAATAATTGAGTTGGAAGGGGCCTATAAAATCATAGAGTCCAACCCCACATTCAGAGCAGGAATCCAAGTCAAAGCAGATCTGACAGATGGTTGTCCAATTTTCTCCTGAATGCCTCCAGTGTTGGAGCGCTCACCACTTCCTGAGGTCATTGGTTCCACTGTCATACTCCTCTAACAATTAAAATGTTTCTCCTGATAACTCTGACTTCCTATAGCTTGAGCCCATTATTATGTGTACTATCCTGCACTCTGGGATAATTGGGAACAGATCCTGCCCCTCCTCTGTATGACTGCCTTTCAAGTATTCAAAAAATGCTATCAGATCTCTCCTTAGTCTACTTTCCTCAAGGTTTAACATGCCCAGTTCCTTCAGTGTTTCTTCATAGGGCTTGGTTTCCTGTTCCCTTGGTCATCCTCATTGCTCTCTTCTGAACATACACCAGTTTGTTGGCATCCTTCTGAAAGTGTGGTGTCCAGAACTGGACACAGCACTCTAGATGAGGCCTAAACAGTGCTGAATAGAGGGAAACTAGTACCTCACAGGATTTGGAGACTATACTTCTGTTAATGCATTTTAAAATAGCATTTGCCTTTTCTGTAGAAAAAAGTGCACCTTGGCTCAACAATCTCTGACACCCTCTCTCTAGATGTCAAGCTGGATGAACACATTGGCAAAGCAGTTACCATGTTCTATAGACTCACAAAGACAGTATGGCTTAATAAGAAGCTGATGGCGTATATCAAGATCCAGGTCTATAGAACCTGTGTCCTAAGCAGTCCTGTACTGTAGTGAGTCCTGGACCCTTTGTGCATGGCAGGAGAGGAAGTTGAACATGTTCCATATGTGTTGTCTCAGACTCATTTTTGGTATCACCTGGCACGACAAAGTTCCAAATAGAGTAGTCCTAGAACGAGCTGGAATTTTTAGCATGTATACATTACTGAAACAGCGACATCTGCGTTGGCTTGGGCATGTGGCTGGATTCCAAAAGATCTCCTGTATGCAGAATTAGTGCAGGGAAAGCACCCCAGAGGGAGACCACAGCTGCAATACAAGTATATCTGCAAGCAGGATCTGAAGGCCTTAGGAATGGACCTCAACAGATGGGAAACTTTGACATCTGAATGTTCAGCCTGGAGGCAGGTGGTGCAGCATCGCCTCTCCCAATTTGAAGAGATAATTGTTCAGCAGGCTGAGGCCAAGAGACAGTCCCAAAATCAGCCAAATTAGGGAGCTGGACAGTGGACAGATTGTCTTCATTGTGGAAAGATCATCACTCTCGTATTGGCCTTCTCAGCCACACTAGACACTGTTCCAAGGCCTCTATTCAGAGCATGTTACCATAGTCTCTCAAGACTAAAGGATGCCTACAGTAACTGCCTTTTTTGCAGCAACAACACACTGTATGCTCATTTGCTTTTTTATCTACAATAACTCCAAGATCCTTCTAATTCATAGTATTACTGAGCAAAATATCTCCTATCCCATAACTGTGCATTTGTTTTTTTCCACTAGATGAAGAACTTTGCACTTATCCTGTTAAATTTAATTCTCTTGTTTTCAGCCCAGTGCTCAAGCCTATCAAGATCTTTTTGAATTTTGTTCCTGTCTTCCAGTGCTCAATGATATTTTGATTAGCAGTCTGACATTTGTTCTATCCATCCCACACTTATTTTGCTTGTTATTCAGACTATCATGGAGCACTTTGTCAAAGGTTTTGCTGAAGTCAAGATATATTACATCTACAGCACTCCCACTGTCTAGCAGGGAGGCTACCTGATCAAAGAATGAGATAAGATTAGTCTGGCAGGATTTTCTGTTGACAAATCTATGATGGCTTTTAGTTATTACTGCATTGTTTTCAAGGTGCTTGCAGAATGACTGCTTTATAATCTGCTCCTGAAATTTCTCTGGGTTTGATGTCAGACTGCCTGGTCTGTAGTACCCCGGTTCCTCGTTTTTGTCCTTTTTGAAGATTGGGACAATGTAACTCTCCTCCAATCATCTGGTACTTCACCCATCCTCCATGATTTCAAGAAAAAGATGGAAACCAATTCTGTTATTACTCAAGTTGATTGCTCCCCATCAGATATGGAGAACTATCTTTAGGCAAACATCTACAGTATTTTTAACACAATCATTTATTTTATTTCCTCAAAAGACAAACCTCTAGCCAGCTCCTGATTTAATTCAACAGTGTATGCATGCCCTGAGTGACACAGGTACACAGACTAGACCCTGTTTAGAACAATCTAGGCCGCAATAATTTGGACCCCCCTCATGTATGGGGGTGAGATCTGAACCATGAAGTGTAGTGCCCCTAAAAGGTTTCTGCTAAGTCATGTTTATTGTGCTGTGTCCCCTTTTCTTCTTCCTTCCTTCCTTCCATCATGCTCAGCAGTATCTTATGTTCCTTATGCAAAATACTGCTCAGAGCAGCATATATCACTGAACGGAAGACACTCTCCTGGATGTATTATGCGTTATCATACAGAGGACAAAATAAAGAACTGATGATGTATGCATAGATGGATTTCTGCGTAGATAGGCGGTATTTCTGTCTTCCAATAAATACATAAATATGGAACCAAAAACAAGCATGGAAGATACCTTCACTAGACCACCAAAATATCAAAACCAGAACCTAGCTTTCAATTCCACACAAGTCTTTATCATACTGGGCATTATAGGGCTGGGTATGCTGTAGAAAAAACAGAAAAGTTCCAAAATCCATGGTCAGACATGTGGGCCATGTTCCCCGCTGAAGCCAGATTACAAAACTGAGGCTGCAGAGAAGGTAGGTTTCAGACTATCTTTGACAATGTGAATTAGAATGTTCCAAACTACTAGATAAAGAGCTGACAGTCATAAACTATATCAACCACTCCTCAACAATTGCTTCTACCGGAACACATGATTCCTTTTTCGCTCAGAGACAGAGGCACACAGAAATATGACAATAGGACAAAAAATTTAATTTTGTATAGACCATGCCTCAACAACATTAATTAGATTACAGAGTTTCTTCATCTCTTTTACTGCTCCTGTCCCATGCAGCCAGAGAAGGACAGATTTCAGACTATCTTCATTAAGCAAAGTGAATTTGCAGAGGGGATATCAGACGTTTTCTTTAGTAGATCAAATCTCTAAATAGCCTTCTTTAAAGACTAGGCTATAAAATGTTAGAATCAAGCGTATTTTTTCAGAAAGGCTTTCAAAGGGCCTTAAATTTGTTTATTATGCTTTAAACAACTTCATGTCTTAATTATAATTTATATTTAACTTTAGTGTTTTATATTGGACGTATTCCACTATTTTAGGTACTGCAGTATGGGGAAAGTGGCCAATGTATCCGCAGGTATGAATGCATAAATAGAAAATGACAAAAAGTCAATAAAGTGAGAATATTTATGTCATATTGCACAAAAACATTTCTTTTGATGTTTTTCTTTGATTTCTAATAAGACTGCAGAACATTTTACAGTTCAAACCATCTTATTTATTTATTCAGCAGCAAGCCCCAGCATCTTGTTTTGGTTTTATCGCTCTCCTCGTGGAAGTTTGGGAATCATTCTTCAAAGGCTTTCAGGAATTCTTTTAGGACCTAAAGAGCAATCCGGGATTAATTTCAATAAATTGTTCTATTAGTGCTGTTAACTGTTATTTATATTGCCCATATAATTCTTTTTAAACTGTCTGTAGCTCTCATTTTAACTGTGAATGTGATGCCTACACTATGTTTTTGCTAACATAATACCAGATCAGTCATACACATTTATTCATAAAATTTTGTAAGATGCACTGAAAACTATTACAATTAGTACAGAATATCTGTATCCTGCTCATCTTTTTGTATGCAGTAGTTTAAACTTACTTCATGCTTATTTGTTTCTGCAAATAATTGTGCATATTTCCCTACCCAGTTTAATGAAACATCAGAAGAGAAAATACCAAAAAAAAGTCCGCCAAATGGTTACAAGTTCAGTAGGAAAAGCTTAGATGGGTGCTAAAGAGAACTTATCCTGGGGCTAACAACACCCTAACCAAGTCAATGTCAACAAATGAGAGTTCACCTCCTTTCTCAGAATGCCATGGCCCCAACCATGATCCCCCTCCATGCCTACTATTCAAGATTTTAAAAAAAATCTATGAAATGTCAAGAGACACATTTGATGTAATGTGTAATTTGAAATGGAATCTTTCAAGAGCATTTGTCTGCAGCCACCAGACCCCACAACCACTGCAAAATGCCTTTGACATAAATTCAGAGAAATGAATCTACAGTGTAATAGGAAGAATAGGCAAGAAGGAATCAAACATCTTGTCAAAGAACACCATTTACAGAGCTGTAAGATATACAGACTAGTAGCACCATTTCTTATTTAGCGACTGCAAAATACTTCCTTCTACTTTCTTTGACAGAACATATAGAGTACTCTGCTGTAAAATAGCAAGTTAACACCGCAGAACATGGAAAAAGAAAAATTGTCAAACCACGTAGCAATATTTCTCTCCTATCTCAGCACCTATGCATATTATGTAGGGAGTCAGCAGGTTAGTTTCAACCTCTTCCTACTTTCCTTTATCTTGTTTTTTCAGCCAACATCATCAATATTGCATGAACTCTCAAAACTAGAGAGCTTTTCAGAGTCTATTTTAAAGCCATTTTAATTTACATATAAAATATATGCATGTAGTACAGAGTTTTTTAAATATCCAAAAGCTACTGCATGTTTCACTTCCAGCTTGAAGATACTGCATCATCTGAAATTGCAATGATGGACCTCAAACTCTATGTTGCCACCTCCTGTGTTCCTGTTGAGTTTTCTAGACAATCAGGCATAGTTTGTATTCCTCTTCCCTCAGTTTTTTATTTTATCAACCAGGCACTTAAAATTCTGCAACCACTGGGCATGCTCAGTCAACTTGATTTTTTTATTCCCCTTCTCCTGGCTCCCCATGCTACAATGATCTGGTGAATATTTGAAAATGTGGCACCAAACTAATAAATTTTGTTGACACCAGCAGGGTTTGAGATTAGAGGGAGCATTATTTTTCAAAAAATTATTTTGTGACAAAAGAGAGGATAAATTGTCAGAAATTCTTTGCACAATATAGCTTTGTTAAGTATCTTGAACACTGCAATCTTTAGGGCATTATTCTGTTTTTCATATTTGTAAGCATATTCTTGTTAGGATTTTGACAGATTTTTCTATAGCTCAAAAATTCTAATTTACACTACAACATCTACTCTGGTGATTCATTTCTTACAAGTGGCTTTTTTAGTTTTAGAAGCGGAAGCCAAATTAGTCTGTGCAAGCATATCAGGCAAAATCCAAAGAAACAAAAACACAAAAAACATGTGGTACCTTAAAGAGCTAAATTGCAGGGGTTTTTTCTCCTATGATTCTTCTAGAAAGGAATCTGCCATCCTTGAATATCGTCTGTATAGATCTTCAGTATATAGGTTTCATCTTTTTATTTTTTCCTGGTCAGATATTGTTGATCTTTCAGCAACCCTATTCTAGGTTTAGATTTTCCTTTCAATTTTTGAATTTTATGGAAGAGGTATCTTCTTTTTCCTCTTTTGTTGTTCTTTACAATTTGCACAAATTACCGTAATAACTCTTTTCGGTGCTAAAGGAAAAGTTGCATTTAGGATTCTAATTCTCTCACTTTCCACGTTTGTGCCTCATCTCTTGTCAACAATTTTGGAAATATTTTCAGTCATCTATTTAGGCTTTTATTTTCTTTGGACAACCCGGATAGTCTTTTTGCATCTTTCCTTGATAATATCTCTTGTTTCAATTCACAGTTCTAATTCATAATCAATTGAATTTAGGAATGCAAATCTGCTCTTCATTACACCTTACATTAAACATAAATATTATTTCAATTAATTTTCTTGTTGGCTGTATCCTGGCCCTGGAACGCCTTCTCTAAAGCTGTCAGGTTTGGCTCCTCCCTGTTATGCTTCCAGCAGCAGACAGTGACCTTTTTTTTCAGGCAGGCCTTCGTAAATTAATTGCCGCAGATTATAAGATTTTATGTAATGTGCTGTACTCTTTTTAAAGGTAAACTTGTGTTTTTAATCAAATATTTTAAGTGATTTAATTTTAATCTTATAATGAATCTAATCTTAGTTTAAGGCTTGTAATTTTATTGTAAATTAGCTGGATAGCTCATTGAATTAGGTATCTGCTGCAGAGTCAGAGGTTGGAAGTTCAATTCCCCACCGTGCTTCCTACAAAAGTTACCCTTCGTACCCTTGAGCAAGTTGCACAGTCGCAGGATACCCCCAGAAGCACGGCATGGTAAACCACTTCTGAGTATTTTCTACTTAGAAATCCCTGAAACGGATTGTCATAAATCAGAACAGATTTGATGGGACAGTTATTATTGATTTTAATGTATTTTAAATTTCTATTGTTTTTTAACTGCTTTGTATGCCACCTTATGTCCCAATTCTGAGAGAAAGCAGGCATATGATTACAACAAACAGACAAATTGTTAATATTCACCTTCTGTCTACCAATCTACAACATAATACAGTATTTCATTTTACTGTGCAATAATCTTCATATTCTTCAAAAGAGGAATATGGTCATAAGAAAACAAAAGAAGCTGAAGAGATCATTATAGTATATAGGTGTAATTTAAATCTTGTTCAAGTGAACAGAATGTTTTTTTATTCAGGCCATAAACAGCAAAATACCTATATGGGATAATTTGGGGGGATTTTACATACTGGACAAGTGTGTGAATAGCTAATATTTCAGTACAAGATGAAAATGTAACTGCTCACTAGAATAGCAAACAATAACTATACATATGCTTTGTAATGTTTACTACACATTTTCACAGTGTAGCATAAAACAATCGCAAATGCCTATTCACATGCAAATTCTTATACTGTACGTACTTTTACTATCACACTTTGAAATTTCACGTATTTCTACCCTTTAATTATTGAACTTACCCTTTTATTATTGAACGTCCTCTCTTAATTTCTGCAGTCTCCTTAGATTTTGCCGCACCTTTAGAATCAACCTTGAAGAAAAATATAGTCAAATTTAGATCTGTAAACCAACTAAATGGAGAACTTTACTTACATTTTTTTCACATAAAAAAAACTTTGGTAGAGAAATCCCAGCAGGAAAATTAATCTCTCCTATATACAGTATCTCAAAAGATCTCTTTTTAAAAAGACAATGTTGTGCATCTTTCTTAAATGGAAGAGACTGAAGTTTGTCTGGATACAAATCCCGGTAAACTGCCCATTCCTCTGGTACCACCCAAGCAGCAGAACAAGAGTAGTGACAAGTGCTCTGCATAAAAGAGCCCTGCATTTCCTTTGAAGAATCTACAGTCTTAAATAATTGTCTCTCTTTCAGTAAGAAAAGGATATGTGCATTTACTATGATGGTTTATTCTTGACAGCGTACAAAGGGTCATCAGACTTTACTCCTAATGCCGTTTTACAACTTCTACTTTCCCAGATGATATCCCTCTCCATTTCAAAACATGCCCAAGTTTATATGGCCAATTGTAAGAAAGCAAGACTAAATTGACAAGAAATAGGGTAAGAAATACTTTTTTGTGCAATGTCTTTTACCTTTTCATTATATATTTCATGAATGGAAACAAAATAATGATAAAAGAGAAATAGACACTAAATGAAGATAAGACTATATGTCAGCAAGTAGCAACCTTCATTGTAGTAATAACATTTCATTCATGGTTGGTACAGGAAAGTCTCCAAGCTATATTATAATTTAAAAAGCAAAGTTGTAACTTGGGTAGAACATGTGTTCCTTCTTTTTATGGAGCAAACATATTGTGCAATGCTTTCCTCACAAATGTTGCCTCTGCTGAAATATAACTATCTTAAAACATTTTGTAAATAAGCTTGCAGGAGATTAAATGAAAGATTGCATAAATTGGGGCATCATTTTAAAGTGTAGCTACTGTTTCCAAAGGAGTAGTAACTATGTTAATCAGTTACAGCAAAAACAACAAAGTGGCGATTGAAATACAGTACTAAAACATCTATTATAGCATACATTTTTGTGGATTATGAACAAACGTTCAGACATATTAGAGCTGATTTATCATTCCAGAGCTGATTTATGCAAGCAAGCAAGGAAGCAAGGAAGGAAGCAGGGAAGCAAAGAAGGAAGGAAGGAAGGATTCCTTTAGCAAGTCAAAGTATCCCTTTCATATAATTATTCCTTTACAGATATGTACAGTAACTGGCAAGCACTGCAGAACAAAAAGGGAGCGCTACTAGAAATAATTGGTCCAGCACCATAACTTCAGACTTAGAGGACTCCAAGCAGAGTAGACAAAGTACCAAAAATGATAGGAAATATTTTGAAAATAATAGATTGCTCACTGCGGTTTATCAAGTAGTCATGTGCACATTCACACTTATGATTGTCTCTGAGGTCCATTGTGGAAAGGTCTCCTTTTCACAGTAGAGGGAGAATGCTAACCATTTCAATCATGTAAAATTCTGGGTGGTGATGAAACTGTTGATTACCAAGAGATCCAAAATGGGTCATAACCCCATTTTATTTTGTGGGGATAACTAAGAGTGTGATCCGACAGCAATACAGGATCATGTTTGATCATGTCGGAAAGGGCCCCTACCAGTCGAGTGATCTCCCTTAAAGCAACTCTTCAGCGCACACAGGAATTGTTCCAGCCCAGCTCCAAAATAGAACAGTCCTGCTGCTGGACCAAAAAAGTTCCAGATTGGGCATGGAGCAAGGTTGGGCTGGTTCACAGTTTCTTGTACACCAAAAAACAGCTCAAACCAGACCATGCCATAAGCAGTTCAAAACACAAGCTATATGACCATCTGACTGCACCCTAAGTACCTCAGATAGGCCCTTTGGGATAATCTGTGGAATAGCTTAAATGGATTCTTTCTCTGGGAGGCCTACATTTTGTGTGCACCCAGTTATATGCCTAGCCATACTCACTGAAGATAAAGGACTAGGATGTTAGAATAAATATGGAAATGTTGTTTCATTCAAAAATAATCTATATTTTAGAAATAAAAATAAGCCATTGCTTACTGTCTCTGATTTTCCCTCTGTCTTGACTTTCATTTTCTTTGATTCTTCCTTTTTGTCACGTGATGTGATTTCTGACTGAGAAACCTGTTTTGGAAGTTCTTTCTCTTGAGCACCACTCAATTTTTTCTTCTGTTTGACATCTTTTAATTCAGGTGCTGTGGAAAGGTCCTGGGCTTCACCTGCTTTTCCTGTATCTCTTTGCAATTTATGTCCTGCTCTGTCAAGTCCACTACCAGACAACTGTTTTAAATCTGTTCGGTCTTCTCCTCTTCCTTTAGATTTCATCTTTTTGCCTTTCTTTGGAATATCTTTATCATCTTCTACAACTGTTGTATAAGGGAACTGCCAGTCTGGAATAGTTGGAGGAATTTCAGCAAGTTGACTCTTCGCCATCTCAGCCTCCTATTATTTTTTAAAAAAATTAATATAGCATTTAAATATAGAATTTAAATATAGAATGTAGCATTTAAATATAGAATGACAGAATGATAAATGTAGAATTATCATTTTATAATGTGAAGCACACAGTCTATATATGTACAGTAACATTTCTGCTGGCTGGATAACTCAATGAGTTAGGCAACTGACGTGGAACCTGAGTTTGGGAGTTCAATTCCTCACTATTCAGTTCAGGAGAAGAGCTAACCTGTGAAGCCATGGGCAAGCTACACAATACCAAGACACTCTTAGAAGAAAGGAATGGATGAGGGGATCACAAATAGGCTATATGCCCTCATCTTGTGCTCCCTGAGGGCCTGTTCGGAGTTTTAACAGGCAAAAGTCCAATAAACCAGTCCAATATCAGAAGTCCAGAAGATGCAAAGCAAATACCAAATGCCAGAGCCAAAACACAAACCATAGTCAGAAGTCAGAGTTCAAAGCCAAGGATCCAGAAAACAAGGTCCAAGATGAGCAGGAGCATGGATGCGAGCCAGGGTGTTGACTTGTTGCTTCCACAAGCTTGTAAGCCTCTGGATGCAGATTTTATAGCAACAGCAGTCATCTAAACACCTCATCCTGCTAAAACTCAGGGCTGGTTGAACCATTCAGTTTTTCAAATAAAACCTTCTAGTAATCATATAATTTAAGCTAAGTATGCAAATTTATTTCGTTAACATATTTTTACAATACTCGAATAAATCAAGCAGTGCTGTAATACCTCTAATGCCTTCTTTAGTTTCTCTTCAAGCATTTTCTTCTCATTTTCAAGTGACTGGATATTTGCCTATAATATCAAAAATTGAGGTATTTAAATTTTTTAAGTAATATTACTTCAAATGTATTTTATATTGAAACTGTGAAGTTCATGACATACTCTCTGTGAATATATCCCTATCAAATAACAGAAATGTGTAATTTTCCAAGTAGTGATAGGCATAAACTGCTGATTTGGCAGTTCGGCCTGGTTCATTAACAGCGGCAACAGGTGTTCAGTGGTTCGATACTCAGCCCCCTCCAGCAGATGCCCCTTCAGAAGCAGTGTCCCAGCTTCCATTCCCCACCTCCTCCAGGAGCTGCTTCTGAGTGGGTGCCCACTGGACGGGGTGGGGTACTGAACTGCCTAACACTTGTTGCAGGGGTAAACAAACTGGCACAAACCGCTGCAGTTCAACCTCATCTCTAGCTTCAAGCTTTCCCATTATGTTCTAGAGGATGTGTTCCAACTGGAACTGATTCATAATTAATTAATGGGTAAAGGACAGGTACCAAGGCCTTGAGCAAATGTTGGTCTCATGTGTCCCCGACAGCATTTTTACAAGCCAACTTTGCCCCAAGCCCTTGTATTCTAAAATATTTTAATTGGATAAAAAGGGCCAACTCCTGTTTCTGGAGGCCTTCAGAAGTATAGTAGTGGTTTTCAGTACAGGGCCTCTTGGGTCCACCAAGATCTCTCTATCCTGAAAAGTCCCCAAAGTCAAACTTGTCTGGACCCAGTGTACCCCATGGGGAGGTTAAGATGGGGCATATTTTGGCTCTAAAGTCCTTTGAGATCATTTATTACTGCCTTAGAAGACAAGGCTCCTTCACTTCTGAAACTATCGACTGATTACAGGTACCAGCAGAAATAAACATATATCCTCAGTCTTGGCACATCTTCATTGGCTCCCTGTTAGTTTCTGTGCTCAGTTTAAGGTGCTGGTTATATAAAGCCCTTAAGAGTTTAGGACCTTAATATTTGGCAAAATGTATCTCCCACAAAATAGCTACCCATCCCACCCCTCACAGTCCTTGATGTTAAGAATTATAACACCCAAGGAGGCAAAAAAAAAAACCCAACACTAGGAACCAAGCTTTCCCAGTCGTGACTCCTTCCCACTAGCAAAGGTTTCTTGCAGAGGTTTGCCAGGCACTGGTTGAATTCCTAGGCATGTCCCTGATTGCAAACCAAGACTTGCATGACTTCCTTTACAAAAGTTTAAATCAACAAAGTGATTCTGGCCTATGAGTCTTCAAAGTCCTTAAATTTCCATGTAATGGCCTTCAATACATAAGGAGTATTCCTAAATGGGAGCTTCTCCATTGCAGTTATTTTTAGCTGATATCGAACAAAACAGTAAATGACATGTACTTAATCCCATCTTCTTTTTTTGTTGTTACAAATTTTAAGAAAGAGCTAGGTTAGTTAAAACCGGACTTATTTTTAAAAGTCCAGTTCCTTCTGATCCATTCCTTTTTTAGGATATGTATCATATTAAAATTTAAAAATTTCTAGCAACTGAAAATAAGAGAGTTTCTGAGAGCTTTAACTTGTCACAAAACTACTCGTTACCTGAGCTTTAGCTAAATCTTCCTTCATCTTGTGATGTTCTTTTTGTCTTCCGGCAAAAGGTTGCACCCTATAATTAGAAATGTATGACAAATTAACTGTCTATGAGGTTGGAAAAGTATTTGACACATTTGTATTACCAGGGCAGCAAGAAAGACCTGCAACACTGGTGAGACATATGTTTGTGGTGAGCTGATCTGTTCAGTACGCAATACTGACAATTCCTTATGCTTCAGCTTCTTAACTTTCAAAGCCTCTTTTCCGGTGAGTAATCCTCGACTCTTAGTGAAGTGCTTCTTCAGTCTGCAGGGAGATGTAGCTGCCATATTTAAGGTACTGGGGCAGGCATGGTTTGGAAATCTCGAGTACAGTAGCCTATTCTCAGCTGCCTGCTTTGCCAATTTCGGAGAATTCTTCTAAAGAAAATTCCTAAGCCATGACTTACAAAGGCCAAGTCCCTGCTGCGTAAATCCCCTGCAAATCAAGCAGGATTGGTTGAGGTAGGCTTTGAACCTTTGTGGGAACACCCCAGTGGATTTTGAGTCCAATACTCAGCCACCATGACTCTCCCATTTGTATGATACACAGAGAACACAGGAAAGAACATCTTGGCAGTCTCAGACTCAGGCTGCAACTATACCGGCAAGTCAAGTTAGAGTAATTCAGCTTTGCTTTAGCTTGCTTTGCAGCCTATTTTATGGATTGTTTCCAAGCCAGTGTCTGCGCTGGCCTCTAAATCAAATGCAGTTTGATTTGTGCCACAGCCCATATACACCCTTACTTTGAGCCTGCTCTCTGAGGTTCCCTGGCTCTTCTTTTATCACTCATTGCAAAACCAATGGTTATTTAAAGTTTGCACAGTGCTAGGGAAAAGAAAGTTTTCCAAAGTTCTCAATAACATGCATACACGTATACACACACAGTGGAAACAGAGTACTCCGTTGTAGCTAATCCAAGTTGTTTATATTTCAAACTGATTTTTATATGTTTGTGTGTGTTTTGTTTCTGCAAAGGTGATCTAACACTAAACTAGTATATTAATGCAGCGATGAGATCTAGTGCAAAATTCAGTAATTTGTTTAAAAAACAAATATTTAGGGGCACTTAGGGAGAAAGATTGTAGGGGTGGGTGTTCTCACTGTCCAAAACATCACACCCAGCTTAGTTTGTCACCAGAATACTGTCACGTCCTCATCCCTTTGGAGAATGAAACAACTGATCTCACAGGGGAAACTCCATTTAAATCATTCTGGCTTGAAAACAGTAGAAGTCCCAAGCAGCAGAGGGGAAAAAAGCCACAGCAGAAGTTAAAAATTGGATTAATTCAAATTAGCCTTTGTGTCTTGCAATCATTAATTTTAAAAAAGCTCATCATCCGATGTACTCCTGCAGCAAACTCTGTAGTATTTGATCATGTCGTTGCAGCCACAGTAGTCAGCCCTTGGTAGACACCATTTCTCCTAACCAGCCATGTTAAAACACAGGTTCTCAAAAAGAACACACCTCACTTATCAATTCATGAAAATGTACTTGATGGGATATTATCTTGCCTCTATGTTCACAGAAACATAATGACTTCATCAGGAGATAGGCATGAAAATATGAAAACCAGAGAAAGGAAGGAAAACTATTTCAGAAAAGTAACAAACTGCAAACTGGACAATGCAGCGCATTTCCACAGTAAAGACAGACAGAGAGAAAAACCTTTCTCCTCTCAACCCTAAGCTTCTGGACGTTGAAGTAGGCAACATAAGTACAAAGCATCCTATATAAGTAAATAAATGGAGGCAAACAGCACTGAGAAGAATAAAAAGTAGAGAGGGAGGAAAGTGTAGAAAATAATAAAACCCAAGCCCCTTCTCTGCATTAAACAACCCAGAACTGAGAGAGCGTATGAAGCACTGGTATAATAAAGGAGTATGGATCTTTAATTCAAGGCATAGTAGGCATGAAACTGGGGTAACAGTAGTCACTCTCACCATCAAGACACATGGTACACCTTGCACACAAGAGATGATATGGGCAAAATATCTGCAAACCTAGGGGGGTTTCTTGTTTTAATAAAGAAAAAGGAATCAATGGCCGAGACAGTAGGAGAAACCAAAATACAGGTCTCAAAACCGAAGACCTAAATTATTTTAATTTACCTTACTGTTTTTTCACTCAGCGGAACAGAAAAAATAAAATCAAGTGTCATTTTAAAAAAGTAAGCAACTTTCAAACTTAAGACCAACATATATATGTACGCATAGAAGCATGAAGATCTATGCCACTATAATTAACAATGAACCTCTTTTACCATTTCCATTCCAAAAAAACTGAACAACCACTTCTGATATTTTTTTCTGAATAATAAGTATGTTTATATTAAGTTAACCAGATTGTTACTGATTAATATTCTTACACTTTGGCCTTACTTTTCTGCAGGTACAGAGGATGGTTTCTCTTCACCTTTCGCTTTCTCCACTTTCTGCAGGATTTTTTTCCTTGCATCTGGTCCTACCTTTTCTGGGAGCTAAAGATATAGAATAAAAGACAATTTGTGTAAGCCTTTCCCCAAGATAGATAAAAGCAGCAGGAAAGATGTCACATGGCTGTTAACTAGGACAAGGTGATAAATTTTGGAGTTCCAATTGCCACTACATACTCAATCATATTGTTTAGTACTCACATATTTCATAAAATGTGATATTGAAATCACCAGAAAAAATGAATTTATTACTATGTCTTGTACCTATTAGCTGCAAAAATGGTAAGTCAGGAAAGAGCAAAAACCTTTCATTCTCTACTCAAACAATTGCTTTACTGTGCTTTGCATATACTCCTTCCCAAATATAAAACTGCACTAAAGCAACAGACATTATGAAATAGGATTTAAAGAAACATATGAACTCAAATACAACACATCAAATAGGCAAGAAATATCAATCCATGATTGTCCATGATTAATAGTAAACACTTAAAAACAAACAAAACATTCCTTTGCTTATTGAAATAGACGGAATAAATTAGAATAAACGTTCTTTCTAATCCCAATGCCCTGACACCCACAACATAGTTTTCACAGTATGTGATCTCAAAGTGTTCTAGAAGTTAACCACTGAAGTTCACTGAAATCACAGTACATGTCCAATCCATGCTCTGAGTTTTCACCTCTAGGTGAACCTCTAAGTCAGCAATGGCAAACCTATAGCACGCGTGCCATAGCTGGCACGCAGAGCCTTTTCTGCGGGCATGCAAGCCATAAGTCACCAGATCGCTACTCCCCCCTCCACAGTCAAACCTCAGGAGGCATCTGCATGTGCGGTGCTGGCGCTTCAACAGGAGGGCCAGGATCCGGAACAGCTGGCGCCGGCAGCAGATCTGGAATGGGGTCTCAAGTCACCTATGTGCCTGGGATTCCCCCTTCCACTGCCATTTCCAGTTCCACCGCTGCCACTTCCGGGTCCAGGGCAGCTGCCACCGCTGTGGCCCACTGCCCGCTCTTCCCCCCCCAAAGTTTGGGCACTCGGGCCTAAAAAGGTTAATCGCCACTGCTCTAGGTTTTCTATTTCTTATCTCATTTGCATCACCATTCTTCTTTGCCTCTGTAATTTTATTTCAGACATCCTTGTGTGATTCTTGGTATTTGATATCATCTTTATTCTTTTGTTTTCCTCTCTCTTCCGGTAACTCTAATATTTTTCTGTTATTCATTTCTTTATTTCCAGGTACTTTTCTACTTGGAAGCATATAAATACCTCAATCAGTTTAGATTAAATAGCATTTATAGCTGCACTATTTCAGTATGCAATCTTATTGATGCTTTGTGAGCCTATATCTCATAAACAGTATTTGCAATTACAATACATTATTCAGTTGTTCAATTTCTATCTTTTTCCATTTTTCACTTTTTTGCATTTTCTTTAATATTGTAAAAACTACAGTGAGTACAGGATTATGATCTGAATTTATGCCAACTCTAAAACAGGTTTTCAACAACACTGTTGGATTAACCCAGGGGTGGGCAATTAATTTATATAAGGGGGCCACATGAAAAATCTGAACTGTATTCGGGGGCCGAACCAACTTTACTTAAAAATAAATTAAAACAGTGATGTTATGATTGTTTTTTTTTTTAACTTGTTAATCTTCACAAATGCTAAAGAGTTTTTTTGTGGTATGTTAAAGATAAGCAACTAATCAACTTTAGACAAAAAGCTATAAATGGTTTTGATGTTCAAAACTGTCCGCAGGCCAGACAGGAGTGGCTCGTGGGCCATATGTGGCCCTCAGGCCGCACTTTGCCAAGGTCTGGATTAACCTCTCCTGAAAAAAGACAAAAGCTGTTCCCACAGCTATAAATACTCAACTATCTAACGAACAGCAACACAGCATGGACGAGCTTCTACTCCAGTCCTCTGAAGATGCCGGCCACAGAGACTGGCAAAACATCTGGAAGAACAACCGTCAGAACACGGCCAAAGAACCCAAAAAACCCACAACAACCATCAATGAAGATATAATTTCTTCTTTTCCTCACAATATTCCTTTTAGTGCCATCTGGTGGGGATTTCTATGTATTCAGTGGTAATCTGAATGTGGCTAAAATTTCTAACAGTTGGACTAGTGTCTCTCGTTATAACTACAACTCTATTATATTTCATAACACTGCTATGTATTGTTATGAATAATATTATAGTAAAAATAGTATGCTGACTATGTGTGTTGGGTTTTACTCCCTAGCAAATGTGTTTGTAATTGAAACCTTAATACCTCTGAACCTTTCATCTTCTGAAGTTCATCCTCCATTATTTCTTTTTCTTCTGCTAGCTTTCGAAATTCTTGCTGAATCTTCTGTAATTTCTAGATAAATAGAAAAGGGAAATTGAGAAGCAAATGATTATTTTACAAAGTAGGGAATATGTTTAAAAAACTGGAAATTAAATATGTTTTTAAATGTGAAATAATTTTTAACATTGATACATACAACCATTGCTCAGAAGTAATATATTTCACTTAACAACATTTACATTTAGCATGTTTTTTAAGGGTAAGTACACTGGAAACATTGTTACTTTGAAAAAGTATTATAATGACTGCTCATGTTGTTAACAATTTTAGTGTCATGAATAATATTTATTCCTAACTGAATGGCCTTAAGTCCATTGGCGATTTACTGAAAACTAATCAATTAGTTTCTTTGGTTTTAAGAATTCTATTTAGCTGCTTCACATTTAATTACAAACTTCTACATCAAACAAAAAAGTATGGATTTCTGTCATTCAAAAATAGTATATTTTTGTTGCAAAAATACGCTACAACTCTCAAATAAACAAAAGGCAGAACTTACTCAGCATCCTTATTACTATGATATGTTTAAAATGTTTTGGAATCAGGTGCCAAGAATGTATAAAGATTCACCTGAGTCAGCTTTAGAAAAGAAAAAAAGGGGAGGATGCCATAGAGATGGCTTGAGTCCCATACAATATGGAGAAAGCTGAGGAAGCCAGATTATGAGGCACACATCCCCAACTATAGATCCCTCTATTGACCAGAATGTTACATTTTTAAGGGCTTTGACTCCTTTGAATCATAAAGAGAAGGGATTAATTCAGATTGATATTCTGATGCTTCTGACAATAAATTAAGAGAGAGATTTATTGAGATGACAGTATTTTTTCCTATCCTAACACTGCCACCAAAGGAACATATTCACTAGAAAGGAGAGCAAAGTCATAAATCGATTACAATTTTCTCAACCAAGGTTTAGAGTTAAGACATAGTAGGAGATACAGTACTCTGTGAGTATATCTTAGCACTCAACCCAATTTTCTTGTATACCACCATGAGAGAAAACTAATTATACCTCCAGAGTGTTGCACTCAGGCTTACAGCTAGATATAACTCTTACTCCTTATCTAGCCACAAATCTCAATAATCAGCACTATGGGCTAATTGTATTATAACACTGATCTGCTAAGGCAGCGGTCTAGGGCTATTCATTTAGTCACAAAGCTCCATAAAGGGGATTATTTAGTTTCCTTTGTTACAATTCTTCAATGGCACACAAACATGATTTAGTGGATTCTAGAGGTGTATCTGAATGAGCAAACCTGTCTTTTTTTAATACAGTAGACAATGGCACTATTTTTTTCTATATGACAGCATCTTGCAGTTGTAAAGAGTAGTGAAGTGACTACTCTTACCAGTCACAGAATCTAAAAACTGTAACATACTTACACCTTCCAGCACATCCTGTTCATTTGCAACTCTGAAAACGATAAAGACACTGAATGTATTTAACTTGTTATAAAACCTCTAGCCAATTTCTAGCTAAGATGCCTAGATGCAAGGGCTGCATTCCTGTAATGTAAAATTACATCATGTTAAATCTATGAGGTTATCAGCTTCAGCCATAATTTGGTAATTAAATGTTTTCTATACCCTGCCTCCTGAAAAGATTCCCAGGCTCCCTTAAAATCCTCTTGGTCCTGGAAAAGTCTTTGGGGAATGTAGACAGAAACTTACAAAAGTCTGAAAATTGGCGTTACTAAGAGATCCTGCAGCAACAGATTTTCAGACATTTAAGACCCTCCTATTTCTGTTGTTTCAAAAGGCACCAGGATCCTAAGGGAGTTTAGGAGCCTTTGAAAGGGGGAATAAGAAACATTTAATTGCTAAAATATTGTTGTGGCTGGTGAGATCATTAGACTTATGCTAAGAAACCTCTGAGGGCATACAAAACTGGCTTATTTAACATTCTAGAAGAACTTTAATTTATTTAGTTATTTTGAATCAGTTTTCTATCATGACTATTCTATTTCATTTGTAATGAAAAGACTATCTCTTTTTTGGGGCAAAATTACATACACATTATTACCTGTGTAATTTATTTGTTTGCCTTTCAAAGACTTTCATTATTTCTATCATGCGGTTGTTCATTGTTTCAATTGTTTCTGAGTAAAAAGATAAAATACATTGTTAGTACTTTGTTTGTAGCCTGTAGCTGAACAGCCTTGGATGCTTCAAGTTGAAAGAAAATCACATACAGTAGTATCTAGACTTGTGAATGTCCCGACTTGCAAATGATTTGAGTTATGGATGACTTCGTTCGCAAAAAATTGCTTTGACCTGCGAACAGAGCCTCGACCTACGAATGCCCTTTTTTGACCTAAGTTCATCTTAGGTCAAAAGAAGAAAAATTTTAAAAATTCGCCGCCCCCCAGTGGTAGAGTACGGATTAACTGGCTTTGCATTAATTCCTATGGGAACTAATGCCTCTACCTACGAACAGCACCTCGACCTACGAATGGAAAACAGCAGATACGGTTTAAATGGTTTTCAATGCATTCCAATGAGAAAGTTTGACTCTACTTACAAACTTTTTGATGTACAAACTTAATTCCAATATGGATTAAGTTCGTAAGTCAAGGTACCACTGTACTTGTATGTAGCTAATTAATACACACAAATCTTCTAACTGTAACAATCAAGGTACCAGTCCTCTGTAGGCACAATTTCTGACAACCAGAGCAACTAACAACTGCTCAGAGCAGAGCTTCAATAAATCATATTGAAGCTTTGCTCCCCAACTATTGGGGAAAATGTACAGACTACTTCCATATCAGTCCATTATGAAAAGTCCATGCACATCACTCATTTATCTGTCCCCAAATTCTTTTATCTAATCAACAAAAATGCACATTTTACTCATTTTTGTTACAGAGGAAATATTTCTCTGTTCACCTACTTTAATACTTACTGAAGTATTGTAATATGTTGGTTATGTTTACTAGAGGTATGTGTAGTCTTATAGTTTACAATAATAGTTCAGCACAGTACTACTGGGAATTATATAATTACATATAACTCCTATTAAATGCCCTCGCTTTTTTAACCCAAAAATAAGAAATCAATATTTAATTCATAAAAGAGAACACATTTTTATTTAGTAATTAGGTAACATTTACATACCAGTGCTGTCATATTATGCATCGCAGTTTAACTCTGGGCTCAGAACACTTGGATATTAGAAGTACCTGTTGCATCTGAACACTGTTGCAATTGGTTTGTTCAGTATCAACTGACATCAGTTACATAAGGCTCGTGATTGAAGGAAGCTAAGTTTCCTGACTGTAGGAAGCCATCTAAGCCTCGTGATTGCAGGAAGCCAGTTTGCAGAGGCAAGGTCTGGGCCATTTTGTTATTTCCTCAGCTTACCTCCATGTAAGAAATGACCCTCAATTTTTAGTCTAACGATTTTACGAAAAACTAGCATCTTATACACAGAAAAATACAGTAAATAGAATTCAATTAAAAATTATCTCTGTATGTGCTGCAATTTGAGTTAGGTGTAGATGCCCTTTATTGGCTGATTATGTCACATCTATCCATATTATGTTTGTTTCAATTATTCCGTTTTTATCACAGTTATTTATTCTTTATTGGTACTCCACTTGTTATGAATGGAGTTATACATTCCGAAGTTTAATTCAGTCAAACACTGAAATTCCAATGATTTTGATGAGACAAAATTTACTATGACTCAAAACTGGCTAGTGTTGGTTGTGATATACTCTACTATTTCAATCATCATTTTTTTACAAGTTTTGAATATCTTACGTGGTTGTCCTGCATCGTCCTGGAAAACCTGCACCATGTTCATCACATCTTCAGTTGCATGTTTCATAGCAAGCTCTGAAACAGAATTTGTATAACTGCTAAGTGGAAACTATATTTTAAAATTCTTCTAATGCATACACTTAATACACTGATTTAAATGGACCCTTCTGTAAGGTTGCAACTAGAGGTGGGCATGAATTAAAAAATCAAGCAGCACATACATTCAAAAATCACTAATTCACTTATTTATATTAATTCGAATCAATGCCCCCAAAGAATGGTAATCAATGAATTTTTAGTGATTTTGTATTCATCGATTCATTTGACTATAAAACAGTCCCCCCAGGCACCTAGAAATACCATAATTGCAGAGAAGCTTCTACTGACTCTCCTCTACAATCCCTCCAAGTTTGGTGAAGATTGGGTTTGCCAAGCCAGCTGCTAAAAGGCGCTTTCCTAAAAGGACCCACTCTATGGGTGTATAACTTGGATGTCTGAAACCTGATTTCCACCAAACTTGGAGGGATTATAGAGAAGAGTCAGTAGAAGCTTCTCTGTAACGTTTGTGTTCCTAGGTGTCGGGGGGGGACTTTCCTAGGGACCCTACTTGTGAGTGTACAAAGTAGATATCTGAAACCCAAACTTCACCAAACTTGGAGGGCTTTTAGAGGAGTCAGGGAAAGCTTCCTTGAGAATGTGGTGTCTCTGGGTACGGTGAGGGGCAGTTTATAGGATTCTAAAGCAAAAAAATGAATTGGTGAATCAATTTGTCAGAAAAAAATTATAAATTTGTCATTCATGACTTGTCAACCTTGATGAATCACACATCAAAATGAATCACCATTTTTCTGATTCATGCCTGTCTCTAGTTGCAACCATACTGACAAAGTAGGAAATGCTTTGGGATTTGGATAGTAGACTTGCATTATTTTCTGTTGACCTCATGATGTAGAAGTCAACGCAAGAACTATCTTTGCAGTACTTCAAAGAGTCTTTACAAGTGTGTCTTGTGTCTCCAAACATGTGCGAGTTCATACATATGCTCTGAGTGCATATTTGGTAACATGGGGCAACTAGGCAATCAAAGAAAAAAGGAAACAGCAGAGAGAGAGAAGAAGAAGAGGAGGAGGAGGAGGAGGAGGAAGTTTTAAGATCACTCTGCTCTAACTGTGCTTCCTGCAGCTCTGGGCAGCCACAGCAGAACAGAGCTCCCTTATGAAGCTGGAAAAAACACTGAAATGAAAACTTCCTCCCTGTCTCTCTGCCAATTCCTTGTTTTCCCCCTACTCCTCAGTCACCTATTTTGACAACTGCTAAAACAGCAAGACTTTAATAGAAAAATGAAAATGAAAGAAACAGAACAAGAAAAGGGAAGCAAACAGACCCAGGCACCAGGTCTGGGGAGTATTGGATACAAATAGTTAACAAGCTGAAAATAAGGCTGATTTTCTCCCCTCTCTCTGCTGACCCCTTTTTGTGGTTGGCTGAAGTGAATTAACCCTAGGGAATCTGACTTTCTGAGTGCAGCTTAACAGAGGATATATTTGCATTCTCCTCCTGTGTAGTCACACCAAAGTCAAGATGCAACTCAATAATATAAGGAGAAATATAATTTAAAAAATCGGCTTACAGATGTTCAATTACTTAAAGCAGAATCTTCCACACATTATCTTCCATATAAATGAACCCTCACCATCCAGATAACAACCAATAAACAGAGAGGAAAAGCAGACTGTGATTAATCTTTCAGTTTCAGGAAATGGTTTGATGTGCAGATTGCTCAAATAGCAGCACCAATACATCAGCTAAGCAGTTAATCCCACCTCCCTTCCAGTTTCCTAGTTCTTGATTATTACATACATGTGTCACGTTCCTGCCTGCCCCTTGGTTGTTCCACCAAGCAAAGGGCACAAGCTACGTGTCGTGTTGCTGCCACCAGTTGATTACATCAACATTATGTATTATTAATAATAGAGGTCCAGATAATGTGTCATTTTAACTAGAATCAAACAGAAGTTGTTTATTAATACAGGTGATGAAGGTACAATAAATGTCTTTAACTCTGAACCAAATATCGCATTTCATCCACCCTCAACCGCCAACTCTATATCCACCCCAAACTTCCAAACTCTCCCACTCTCAAACCCTACAACTCCAATCTAATCTCTGCCGAGAATCTTATATCTTGTGACTCCACCTATCCAGCACTCTCATTGGTCTATGCAGATAGCATATGAATATTCTTGACGTAGGCAGACACCACATGGGATACTGGTAACAAATTCAAAGAAATGTCCTGCTTCATCAGTTTAATTTTTCTTAGATTAATGCGGAAGGCACAGATGCAAAGCTAGAAAAATTAGGGGAATATGAACCTGTCTACATCTCATGGTTTTGTCTGCTCTTGGGTACTTATTTGTATTTGTTGCCATCTTTTTCCAGAAAACATATTAGGCCTTTGAACTCAATTAAATGCAAATAATATATGTAATAATTACTGATTGTCCTATACAGAAATGGAGCAAGGAAGTACAGTAAGTTACCTTTTTATAAAGCATGCTATTTTTGAATAGTTTAGAAATCTTGCTGGAACAATGTAAGCTCCTATGTGGGGACATGAAAGTAGCCTCCCTGAAGAACATGAGAACTGTGGATACAATGGAACACCACCAGAGAGAGCAGTGTTGCTGCCCATGGAACCCACAAACCTGTTCACAATCCTAATTTATTGGGGGGGGTCATTCTTGGTCCCCTGCCCTGTTGGCCCACCCTTCCAGTCTGGAAGCACCATTTGATTTCTTCTGACATTAATAAAGCAGAAATAAAAGCTCCTGTGTGAAATTTGTCCTCAGTGTGATCTCTTCCCTGGACACCATTTCTTCAAATCCATGCCTCCAATAGGCAACTTACCTATCTCACTTAAGGCCCTGTTCACAGTGCAGCACTTGCAGCTGGGGAGACGCGCAAAACTATCATCATATTGATGGGCATCACCACAGAAGGAAAAGTCTTCCCAAGAACATCATCAGCTGCTATGAGACTCTACTACAGTGGACCCTTGACTTACAGACGGCTTGACTTACAGACTTTTTGAGTTACAGACTTCTCTGGCCGCAGAATTTAGATTTGACTTGCAGACTGAGATTTGACTTACAGACCAGAAAAAAACCAAAATGGAACAAAAACGGCCTGTTACGGGATTAATCGGTTTTCAATGCACTGTAGCTCAATGGAGACTTGACCTACAGACTTTTTGACCTGCAGCCACCGTTCCAATACGGATTAATTCTGTAAGTCAAGCGTCCTCTGTACTGCCTGGACTGTATTTTCCCTGCCTTCCCTGAACCTTTCTTGACTTAAGAAAAAAAGAAACAAAATATCCCCCTCTAGTGGTTGAAGGAGGAATAGCAGCTTCCCATTAATTTCTATGGACGGAAAAGAGCAGATACGGATCAAATGGTTTTCAGTGCATTCCTATGGGAAATGCAGATTTGACCTGAGAACTTTTTGACTTGAGAACTGCCTTCCAATACGGATTAAGTTCTCAAGTCAAGACCCCACTGTACTGTCTTTGTGCTTAGCAAGCCAATAGAAACAAGGATGGCCTAGCCAGAGGAGGGACTAGAGGACATAGCCTTCACAGGAGCAGTCTTTAATCTGGTCTGGGTGTTGATCATATAAAAGCTCCACAGCGCTTCGCATGCATGCAGTCATTGTTGCAGCTTTACTATCCAGCCACCTCTCTTCTATATTAAAACAGGGACTCTGATGAGGGGCAGGGCATTGTTGAGATCATCTCTCAGTGATTACAAACTGATTGGGCAGGAATGGAAATTGTGGGCAGAATCCAGTTTGGAAGAAATGAGGCTTGCATACCTATAGGCTTAGTTGATTGATCCTTTTAAGTGATCTTGGTATGACTGCTGTCAGAGAGTTTTCAGGTAGACTACACTTGCATTTACAGTATATGATAGAGGTTGTCATTGTGACCAAATACCCAGGTGACATTGATAGTCCTGCCATCCTATGATCAAGCAATTGGATTTGGCAGTTCATCATCTAGCAGTTAAGTCATCCAGTGCCATGACGCGTAATACAATGTTGCACCAAACCTACTGATTGTAACCAATGATGTCCCAGCCAATTGTTTTCCATCAACTATGATATACAGTGGTGCCTCGCTTAGCGTCCCAGCCAATTGTTTTCCTTCAACTATGATATACTGTAATTTGTTTCCTCTCTGACTGCACAGTTTCAACCAAGCATTTCGCTTGGGCTGCAAATATTGATTCCTTGACCATGATTTTATTTGCTTAGTTTCATTTTGAAAACAAAGTTACAGAACCAAAAATTGTACAGAAAATATTGCATGCTGCTAATTATGAAATCAAATAATGCAGCTATTTTTGGGAAGTATATAGTTACAAATACTTCAGAAATAAAGCCCAATTTCGTTTCCTCTCTGACTACACAGTTTCAACCAAGCATTTCGCTTGGGCTGCAAATATTGATTCCTTGACCATGATTTTATTTGCTTAGTTTCATTTTGAAAACAAAGTTACAGAACCAAAAATTGTACAGAAAATATTGCATGCTGCTAATTATGAAATCAAATAATGCAGCTATTTTTGGGAAGTATATAGTTACAAATACTTCAGAAATAAAGCCCAATTTCCAAAGGAGAAATTGTCAATAGTTTCTAAGTCCTTATTTCTACCAGCCCTGCTTCCTTTAGCCACAAATGTCTCATCCAACATATTTCACTATCCAAAATTTTTATTTCTCTCTGCTCCATCTTCATGCACATTCCTTTAATAACATTATCTTTTGCTACCCACAACTCCATATTAAATGATACTCCTCACCTTCAATAATATTTCTTGGATCTTTTTGAGCAGGTGCTACTGGGGTTATTGGTCTTTTCTTCTCCCTATCAAAATGGACAGTATTGAAATGTTACAGTAATTTTCCAAAGATAATGCCAATTCACTACACTCTAAAAGAAGACTCCTAACTTTATCTTATATCTTACATTGAATTAAAAATCCATTATAATAATTAGGATGCCCTACATAAGAAATCATAGCTTAATCTTTACTGTTCTTAAAAGAGATAGAAAAGAAACACTTGTCACAAAACCAAACAATAAATTGGCATGAGAATGTTTAGTGTGCTTCACTGATTTGGTTTCCTAAAAACTGGCTATAACACTTTGAAGTTTCACAGATGTTAAAACTGGAAAGAATTATTTTAAGTAATGTGCCTACAGTTTTTCTTAAAACTGTAGGATATTTGGATGTAACAACAATTCTGAAGTAATTTTATGTTATGGAACTAGAAGCCAAGTAGAAATGACAGATTTGTATAATAAATAAGGTTTGGGGTTGCCTGGAATTACTGCAACAAAGAAAATATTTATAGTTAGATAACCAGATGAATTTTGAAACATTTGTCAATGATTGTTAGGCTTCATTCTGGGATTAACCCTTTATTGGGGTAATGTCAGCTATGATGAACCATATGCTCTATGCTTTGCCTAGGAGGTCTATAAAACTTTATAGGTCTCCTGGGAAAGTGAAGTGGCCTGTCTAGGGGTCTGACACCTGCTCCAATTTATTGGCCATTGCTCACAAAGATCAGACAAACTTTGGTCATCAGAAAACAATACCATACTTTGTTCTTATTAGCAGTTATTGGGTAAGTGTGATGGGCAGACATAGGTCCTGTACAATGTCTACTTAATTAAGGAGAAAAAGGTGTAATGCTTAAGAACCTCAGACATTTCATGAATGTGAATATTCTAGATAACAAATATAAAAAGGTTAGATGTTGGCTGGCATTCTGTTGGTGATTTATACAAGTGAAATCATGTAAATTGCAGTGATGGATTGTTGCTAATTAACAGGGTCCCAATTGCATTCCTGATCATATGTCTATCATGTAACAAGTTATATAACCTGCACTTCTTTAATTTCACTTATTCTTGCATAAATACCTAACAGGATTCCAGCTATTGTGCTTTTTCTATACATTTTTGCTGTAAAGTTAAACTTTTTAAAAATAAAATCTGTATTTTATTGTTATGACCCTATTTTGCAATCCTCTTACTGTTTTGGTGCAGACAGCTGGATAAGCTTGGGCAGTTCTTGAATACGGCCCTTCAACTCCTCAAGCCTTTGGATGCGGTTCAATAATTTACTAATGTTATCTGTTATGTTTTTATCAGCTAAGGGAATTTGCCAGTCTGGAATAAGTTGCTCCTCGCCCATCTGAAAAAGAGTTAGATATCAAAATATTACTATAATCTGTTGTTTATTAACTGCGTTTCTTTCCAATTTCTGGAAGGAGTAATACTGTACTTTTTATACTTACTTGGGAAGAAGCTCAAGTGAAATGAATGAAAGGTTCCACCAAGTAAAATATACAGGTTTGGGTTGCACAGTTTGTTATTTACTTTAATGGTATAGAACAGGAGTTTAAAATATTAGGCCCTAAAGATATTATGGGACAGCAATTCTCTGGCTAAGGCTGATGGAAGCTGCAGTATAGTGTCTGGAAGTCAACATATTTCCCAACTGAGGCATCAAGCTAGCACAGACAACTAGAGGCTTAGAGGCCGAATACATCATACATAAGCTCCACATGTTTCCCACTATAGTGCTGATATCAAGCCTTATCCCTGCAATACAGTCTATAACACACTGGCCACTTTCTTCCAAGCTTCTTCAAAGTCCAAAAGACATAATGAACTTCAAAATCCACACCCCAGGGAGACAAATGACTGAGCTAAGAAACAGGCAAATGAGAATGAAAAGGGAATTTTTAACCTGATGAAGTTGTATTCTTCTCATATATAAAACTCAAGCCATTCAAAATTGGGTGATTTTGGACACAGAAAGGTAATGTTTTTAGGTCATACTCTGGTAATAAGGGAGTTTTCTGCCTTGTTTCAGGAGAGCCTACTATTGAATAAGGACATAATGGCTTAAGATCACATTTGCCCCTGCTAGTGGGAACACTTTACATTGGAATGCTCCTGTGTCTGGAGCAGAGGTGAATTTCATCATTTGTGAGATCTCCTACAGCAGTGGTCCCCAACCTTAGCCCTCTAGATGTTCTTGAACTACAACTCCCAGAAGCCTTCACCACAACCTCTGCTGCCCAGGATTTCTGGGAGTTGAAGTCCAAGAACATCTGGAGGCCCAAGGCTAGGGACCACTGTCCTACAGTACCTTATGATTTCTAAAAGTCTGCTTCAAATTTTTTGGGAAAACCTATAGAAAGGGAGAGAGGCTGCAGAGGAATAAAGAATCTACAAAATCTGCATCCCCTTTTCTTCTGTATGATCCTTTGCTTTTTGATATTTCAAAACACTTGGAAATCTTGTTAACATGCAAGTGAATATCTACAACAAGAAATGACATGTAAATGAAGGGCTAAACTGAACAGTTTACTAAATATGTAGTGTGCTGTTTAATATTTCTTTTACCATTTTGAACTAAGTCATCAGAATCCAATCTGGAAAGGAATCAGCATGTGCAAGAGAAGGATGGTTTAAGCACTAAATTAGCTTCTTTTAAATTTCAAAATCAACCCTGCCCCAAAGACTAAGCAATGAAAAAAGCTAATTTGCTCCCTAAGTTCTTTTTTAACCCCACTTCCCCATGAGTGAGATTCAGGGGCAAGGAAGGAATATTGAAATAAAAGTTGACTAGAAGAGATTCACATCTCCTGAACCCGCATGCACTAATGCTTATCCTGAGCATGGTCATGCGCAATACGGGAACAGTGAAGAGGCTGACCGCCGAAAAATTGATGCTTTTGAATTGTGGTGCGAGTCCCCTGGACTGCAAGGAGAACAAACCTATCCAAACTCCAGGAGGCAGTGGAAGACAGGAGGGCCTGGCGTACTCTGGTCCATGGAGTCACAAAGAGTCGGACACGACTTAACAACAACAAAGCCAACTGGTGAATGCTCTAAAATGAAACAACTGTTGAGCTGTACATAAGGAACCTCCACAAAGGCCATTGCTGTTCACATCACAAAAGACAATTTTAAAGAGCTCTTTGTCTGTATCTTTTGTGGAAGTAAAGTAGTATCAGGAGTCAATATTGATTAACTCTTCTAATATTGTCTCACTTTAAATGTGTTTAAAATTTATTTCCCAACATGAAAATTATAACATACAATTAACTCAACTGTATAATTATTACAAGATTATATTTTGTTCTGGGATCTTTTAAAACAGGAAATAGTGGTTTAATTTTCATTTTTATTTTTTTAAAATGACATTCTTCAAGTGAATTCTGAAATACAAAATGAGACTGAAGGGTGGAATTACTAAGATTAGTAATTAAAAATTTATCTTAACTACTGTAAAATTAATAATAAATAAGAAACAGCAGCCCACATAGAAAAATCATTCACATTGTTATTGTATGTTCCATGATTTTCCTGGCAAACTATAATCACCAAAGTTTCACATTTTAGCTTACCTCTTCCATCTCATGGACTTCCTTTTCAAACCACTTATTTCAAAGAAAAATAAATAAATAAATACAATTAGGGTTTGACAGATATGACAATCTTCTTGAAATAAAATATATTTTAAAATATGTATCTAAAGGACAATTTCTTACCTTAAGCAATGATTCTAATATCTATGAAAGAAAATGTAAAATATAATTCAATGTAAACTTTACATTTATTAATATGCAGACAATCTAAGACAATCTTTTTGAAATAAAATATATTTTAAAATACGTATCTAAAGGACAATTTCTTACCTTAAGCAATGATTCTAATATCTATGAAAGAAAATGTAAAATATAATTCAATGTAAACTTTACATTTATTAATATGCCATGAAATATTTTTACAACTAACTAACCTGTTTGAACATGGGGTCAGTCTCTCAGTCCCCTACAACACCAAGTAAAGACTTCCAAATGTTAATAGGTACATCAGCTACATTACACATGGCTGCCCAAAATGCTCATTCACAAACCAGCTTTGAAAAATGGTATTAAGGTTATGTTATACATAATAAAAAGCTCAGTAATGTCTATCATTGATAATATCAATTCCCTTGTGCTTATAAAGATAGGTCCAGCATGCCATTCCTCTTCCTCAAAGCAGGTGCAGGGATATGAAATGGATTCCCCCACAAGCCCTCCCTGCACCAGAAGACATTCAGGAGCATGACAATAGCCACTGAAATTATCAAGGCCCCTGTCAAAATGATATCTAGCTTTTTTTTCCACCTGATGCTTTGGTCTTCATTCTTCTGACCACTTTCCTGTGTGGCCTTTCACCTTTCCACTGGTACAGTGAGCTTCTCACTTTTGTTTCCCTACATAGGACAAACAGAAGCTGTACAAGGTAGCATTCATGTATCACCTTGGATTTTTGGGATGGCACTGTTTTAAAGTTTTTTTGAAGTTAAATGGCTTGCCAATGCCAAGCAAGCCTTAAGTCTGCATATCCCTAAGCATACATGCATACACGAGCAAGAAAAATATCTTGCTTGCTAAGTAAAGCAATTCTAAATGGTGTGACCTAGAACAAAGTTATGTTTTGTCAGCCTCTTCCAAACTATGCCAGCTCCTGCTAGCTACAACTTTTTTGACCTGTCAATATTTTCTGAATTCCACCCTTTTGGAAACAGAGGAGAGGTTGTGCATCAGCTGCAAGGTGGGAAATTAATTCTGAGCCATTTGAGAAAATGGGCGGGCTTTGGATCCAAATGTCTCCATCTCCTATCACTTTATTCTGGGGGCTATCACTGTCGAAACCCCACTGGTAGCAGACCTTGGATGTGCACTTATGTAAAACATAATGAGGGGTGACCATACACTAGCTACATCCTCACCCTCACCAGTTATTGATGTGGTAGATAGGACTGTGTTGGAAATGTTGCAAGAAGAGCAAGAAAGCAAATGTAAAAGCAAAATAAAGGTTACACAAATTGTATTTTTTTAAGTGAACATACTTGTTTTTCTTCATAAAGTGCTTTCTCTAATTGGTTCCTGAGATGAGAACAACAAATCAGGAAAGAGGTCATATCTTCATGTTCTTCCTTCTAGTAAAAAACAACAACAGATATATAGAGACTGAAATATAGCATACCCGATTTTTTTAAAAAAATGTAAACTCCAATACTGCCTAGTGAAAAATATTCATGAGTACAGTATATTCTATACTAACTTAATTTCAATTCTTGAATTATCTTTCCCATTTCAGATTATTTAGACTTCCTTTTGTTAAAATTCAACAATGTTAACTTTTGGTTACTCTGTATTAGGAGTTGGCAAACTGCCACTCTTGGGCCACATGCAGCCTGCCCCCCGAAATCAAGTGTGACTCCAAGCATCCCCCACTTATCCCTTCAGGTTTTGACATTCAAAAAATGGCTGAAATTCCCTTGTGCTTTCTGTGGGCACAAGGGCCATGCCACTATATTTTAAGCTGAGGTGTTATAAATTAAAATTGTTATTATGTGCTGTGAAGCTGCATCCAATGGCAAAGTCAACAGAGTTTCAAAGTTTGTCAGATATTTAATGAGGTTTTACCATACTAGTGAGTTTCCATGGATGAGTGGGTATTTGAAACCATACCCCCTGAGGCCTAGTCTGTCACTCTGTCCATAACATCATACTGGCTCTCGAAGGGGGGAAAAACAATCAAGAGTGCAAGACCCATCAGAAATGTACAGAAAACAAACAGAGCAGATTGGAAATGCACAGAGAACAAAGGGACAAGGTTGGAAATGCAAAGAAAACAAAGGAAAAAGCAAGGAGAGCATGTAGGACCCATCGGAAATGGGGGAAAAAACCCAAAAAGCAACTAAACCCCCCCAAGACCCATCAGAAATGGGGAGGAACCAAAAAGCAACCAAACCCCCCAAGACCCATCGGAAATGGGGGGAACCCAAAAAAATAAACAAATCCCCAAAGACCCATCACAGTACAGAAACATAACACCCCCAAACTTCTAAATTCAATTTTCATTCTACTAATAAATTGTATACAATTTGCTTACTAATTTTGCTCCTTTGGACTGTTCTTTAGATTTTTTTATTGTATATTTTTACTGTAAGGCAGTTTGGGAAGTATTTAAAGGATGGGAGAGAAATGCTTCTCCAAAATTAAGGTAAACATTTTAACTCTCACTTGGATATATACTTTAATGCAGTGAGACGGCTTCTATGTGTCAGGGGAGCTGAAAATGAAATTTTAATACGTAAGATTCCACTATGGATCTAAACTACTAAAAAGGTAACCCAAACCAGAATGGTCATAGCTTAGACACCAAACTGAAATATATCCATTCTTTTCAGGAATTAAGAGTTGTTGCCAACAGAAGATAATTGATAGTTCCAGTGGTGAAGAAAGCAGAGAAATTCCGTACAATTCCCAGGCAGGGAGAGAAGGTGACACCGGTGAAGCATCTTTCACAAATAATGGCAGTGACACTCAAGCCAATTCTTGTTAGTACTCTACAAAAGAGGGCCAATGGTGAACCACGTCTGAATATTTCATACCCTAAATATCCTATGATGACACAATCCAAAACAAAACATATAGTGTGGTAAAATATTCCCAGGTCAGAGGTTTCTTTAGCTTACTGTGGAACAATACATTTAATCAGATACGTTCTTAATTTTTTTAAGCAGAGTTGAATCTCTCCATAACCAGAATCAAGTCATGCAAGTAGGCATCCACCTGGCTGCTTGTTAATTAGTTGAAACTTGCTGCCACAACTTAAACAATTTAACTTGCTCTAGAGCAGGGGTCTCCAAACTACAGCCTGCAGGCCACATCCAGTCCACCTTGCCTTTTTATCTGGCCCAGCGAATGCCACAGGCTTAGGTCCGCTCCCTTCAGCCCATGCATGCATGCGTGTGTTCATTCGGCCCTCAAAAATGTGTAAAATATAAGATGTGGCCCTCATGCTGAAAAGTTTGGAGACCCCTGCTCTAGAGTAAAATCATTATTAATTATTGTTTCCTGATAGATTAGGATCTCAATAGCATTCTGGCCAATACCTCTCTGAAGAGCTCCGTTTGTAATAGCTTTTTGGATGCGCAAAGGAGGGAACTCACTGTACCTCCTGTGGAAGAGCATGCCTCAAAGAAGGCACCACTGCTGAGAAAGCCCAATTTCTAGTTACCATTTTCTAGGCTTCTTTGGGGTGTCAACACCCACTGATGTGAGGTCTGTGAGGACTGAGTCAGATGGGCAGTCAAACTTGGCAGAAGACATTCAGACAAGTACCAAGATCCTAAATTGTTTAGAGCTTTGTATGTCAGAACCAAAACCTTAAACCTGGAACAGTGGCAGACTGATAACCAGTACAGGCAGAGCAGAATTGGGGCGATATGGTCAGACTTCTTCAACCCAGTGAACAATCTGGCCACTGCATTCTGGACCTCCTGAAGCTTCTGTACCAGCTTCAAGGGAAGCCCCACATAGAGTGCATTGTAGGAGTCAATTTTTGAGACTTCTAGTGTGTAGACCAACGTTGCTAGGAACCTATCATTTAGGAAGGGATGCTGCTTCACCAAAGTTGGCAAAAGGCTGAGTGCACCACAGCAGAGACTTGTTTTTCTGTTCTAGGATCACGGATAGATTGCACAACTGATCATGAAATTCCCCAACTTTAGGGGAAATGCCCCCCAGACAGGTATTAACAACAAGGAACCACAAAGTTTCCCCCTACTTTATTCAATATTTTGTATCTAGGACTGAAACATCTACTTTTTCAAACAAAGCAGTGTTAATTATTTTGGATAAAATAATGTACATCTGCATCACTGGTAACTAGCAATTATCTGTTGTTCTATAGTAATGATGTATCTATGCTATTATACTTATGGAGACTGCATATACATATGCATTTTGCCACAGCTGGGCTAAATCATAAGATCTACTGAAGTGATATATAAAATGATTCACAAAACATACAGGTGCTGCAGGTTCTTCTTCTTCCTCATATTCTCCCTCTTCTTCTATTTCATCATCCTTTGTATAAGTGCCTTCCATGGTACTTACAATCTAGAAAAAATTCCAAACCATTTTTGTAATATTTCAGTAGCTATACTTCCTACTGATCTCATACTAGAAAAGACCAAATGCCATAAGAACTTTAAAATTAACTGTTTAGTTTTATTAACTTTTATGCACTTGTTAAGATTCATAATGCTCTTCTTCCCACACCTCAAGACTATTCTACTTCTTCTCCCTACTTTTTTCTCACAATAACCCTGTCGGATAGGCTGACAGTGACTGGCCTAAGATCCCTGAATGAGTTTCGTGGCTCATAGAGGACTAGAACCTGGAGTCCCAGTCCAGTGCATTAACAAATAAACCACATATTCAACAAGGTGTTAAAGGGGTTTTTTAAAATTTACAGCATTACAGAGAAGAGATAAACAGTACTACTACAAGGAAAAGAAGAAAGTGACAGTAGTCAGTGAATGATCAGGGGTATGATTGCATGTAGTATGGTAATCCTGACTGGTCTTTCTAAAATGACCTATTTGGAATAGATAACAGCAAGGTATATATTTTCACTATTTACAAAAAAGATATAAGGAAAATAAGTTTAAAAATCTGGTTTAACAAATTTTCATTTACCTGATGATGTAAGAGAAACATCTAAGAATAATAGTACATACCTACCACAGAATTAAAAGGCAAGACTGAACAACAGTGGAAACCATTTTAATGACTATCATACCTTATTTAGATTCTCCGTGATGTTCCTAAGCATATCCATCTCATCCAGCATTCTGTCTTTATTGGCTGATGGCAGAGATAGGGAGTACTGTGTAACAGATTCTGCAGGAACTGCAGGCATTAAAACCATTGTCTCAGGTTCAAATTTTGCTCTTCCTCTTTTTTTTGATCCAGGAGGTGAGTAATCTTTCGTTTTTGTTTTCACTTTTGCTGCTCGCATTTTGATGGTTTTATTACCTTTTCAAAAGCAGATTTTTAAAAACATGTCAGTTTCTTTTTATCTTCTATAGCCTTTAGGGGGCTTAGTTGGGAGTTTGGATAAATGCTGTCCTCAGAAAGAAAGAACAGGCATGAATTATTTGAATCTTCTGCTTTTCGTGGTTGTCAGTATTAAACTTGTGAAAAAATGACATGATAAGGAGATGATAATATAATTTCCAGACAATTGATTCTATATGCCTTGGGAGTATGGTATGGCTCTTTGAACTGCTTACTTAGATATATTCTTACTAAATTCAGTGGGTCGTACTGTATATCTCAGTATATATGCATAGGTAGTAGATACAGTTACTGTATACTTATTTGAAGAAATTAGCAATGTTGCTTTCTCGGCCTACAATTCCCAGAATCTTTTAGCCACCATGGGCAGTAACTGTTTAACTATGGGATTCTAGATAGTGTAGTCCAAAAAGTAAAAAGTAAGATTCTGCTATAAATCTCACTCCCTACAACAGTATGATATGTTTTTAAAAGAAAAGCAACTCATTAAGGTATGGGTTTAGGAAGGAGGTGCCACGTTAGACTGGCAATTGCTTGTGCCTATAGGCATATAAATTGAGCTAGGATATTTTCTAATTAATAATAATAATAAATGAAATTACACCTTGTGTTTTCCATAGTTTGTGCAACTTGACCTCACTTTTCCGTCCATTGGCTATGATGTGCAAATAAGGTAAAAAATTATTATTTACCATAGATGCCAGCTATGAAGAATATCATTCCTCTCACAATTCCCAAAGCCAGTAAGAACAGGATAGGACAAAATTAAACTAGTCACTACTCCTTACATACATAAGGCGAAGGTGCATAACCGTCTCTCCCACCCTGATTGATCTGATACATTCTACTACATTTACCTCCAAAAATGACAAACACTCTGTAATTTAATTTAATTTGTTTTATTTCTACACCACCTTTCTCCCAAATACAGGATGAAAGGCAGCTCACAAATGATTAAAAGACAAACCAATTAAAAACACAATAAATTATTTTATTAAGAACAATGAAACATATATAAGAATTAAAATAAGTTAAAACTTTTTAAAAAAATATTAAAAGCAAATTAAAACATACATAAAATAATATGGAGTACTCAAAATTAACATTCATTACTGGACAACTAGCCATTAAAACCTACCTAAAAAGTATGGTCAATCAAGAAAATAGCATTCCACACACTGGGAACAGCCATAGAGAAGGCCCTCTCTTGCATCCCCACCAACTGGACTTGAAAAGGTAGCAGGATTGAGAGCTTCCTCTGAAGGTCTTAGGAGTTGAGAAGGCTCTTATGGCGAGATACAATCCTGCTCGTAATATAAGCCCTACCCCCCAAATAAGCCCCAATTAAGTGAAACCCACCATTGTACAGCAGCTAGAAAATGACATGACTGTATTTGAATGAATGTAGATTGTTGCCTTGTTGTGGGGAAGGGGCTTGAGTAATTCAGAAAAACTATGGGCTATGCTGTGCAGGGACCCCCAAGACGGACAGGTCGTATAGGAGAATTCTGACTAAACAGGAGCAGGACCTGACAAGCCACTCCGGTATCTTTGCTAAGAAAATTCCATGAACAGAAACAAAAGGCTAAAAGATATGATGCTGGAAGATCTGCCCCTCAGGTCGGAAGGTGTCCAACATGCTACTGAGGAAGAGCGGAGGACAAGTACGAGTCGCTCCAGAGCTAATTAAGTGGATGGGCCAAAGCCGAAAGGACGCTCAGCTGTGGATGCGCCTGGAAATGAAATGAAAGTCCGATGCTGCAAAGAAAATACTGCATAGGAACCTGGAATGTAAGATCTATGAACCTTGGTAAGCCGGATGTGGTCAAACAGGAGATGGCAAGAATAAACATTGACATCCTGGGCATCAGTGAACTACCGGTAACATGAATGGGAATAGGTGAATTCAATTCAGAAGATTATTATATCTACTATTGTGGGCTAGAATCCCATAAAAGATATGGAGTAGCCCTCATAGTCAAAAAAAGAGTGAGAAAAGCTGTACTGAGATACAATCTCAAAAATGATAGAATGATTTCAATACGGATCCAAGGCAGACCTTTCAACATCACAGTAATCTAAGTTTATGCACCAACCACTGATGCTGAAGAGGCTGAAAGTGACCATTTCTATGAAGACTTACAACTCCTTCTAGAACTGACACTAAAGAAAGATGTTCTTCTCATTATATGGTACTGGAGTCAAGAGATAAAAGGAACAACGGGTGAGTTTGGCCTTGGAGTTCAAAACGAAGCAGGACAAAGGGTAATAGAATTTTGCCAAAAGAACAAGCTAGCTGGTCATCACAAACACTCTTTTCCAACAACACAAGAGGTGGCTCTACACACGGACATCACCAGATCGGCAATACCAAAATCAGATTATGTTCTCTGCAACTAACGATGGAGAAGCTCTATCCAGTCAGCAAAAACAAGAGCTGGAGCTGATTGTGGCTCTGATCATCAGTTTTTTATAAGATAAGGGAAACAAAATGCAAGGGAAATAGGGAAGGTTACAGAAAAGTGAATGCACACTTCCAAAGAATAGCAAGGAGACAAGAGGGTCTTCTTAAATGAACAGTGCAAAGATATGGAGGAAAATAATAGAAAGGAGAAAATCAGATATCTGTTCAAGAAAACTGGACATATTAAAGGAATATTTTGTGCAAAGATGGATATGATAAAGGAGAAAAATTGTAGGGACCTCACAGAAGAAGATATCAAGAAGAGGCGGCAAGAATTCACAGAGGAATTATACCAGAAAGATCTGGATGTCCCAGACAACCTAAATAGTGTGGTTGCTGACCTTGAGCCAGACACCCTGGAGAGTGAAGTCAAGTGGGCCTTAGGAAGCATAGCTAATAACAAGGCCAGTGGAGGTGATGGCATTCCAGTTGAACTATTTAAAATCTTAAAAGATGACACTGTTACACTCAATATGCCAGTAAACTTGGAAAACTCAACAGTGGCCAGAAGATCAGAAAAGATCAGTCTACATCCCAATCCCAAAGAAGGGCAGTGCCAAAGAATGCTCCAACTACCGTACAATTGCACTCATTTCACACGCTAGCAAGGTTATGCTCAAAATTCTGCAAGGTAGGCTTCAGCAGTATGTGGACCGAGAACTCCCAGAAGTACAAGCTGGATTCCGAAGAGGCAGAGGAACTCGAGACCAAATTGCTAACTTGCGCTGGATTATGGAGAAAGCCAGAGAGTTCCAGAAAAATATCTACTTCTGCTTCATTGACTATGCAAAAGCCTTTGACTGTGTGGACCACAACAAACTATGGCAAGTTCTTAAAGAAATGGGAGTGCCTGACCACTTTATCTGTCTCCTGAGAAACCTATATGTGGGACAGGAAGCAACAGTTAGAACTGGATATGGAACAACTGATTGGTTCAAAATTGGGAAAGGAGTACAGCAAGGCTGTATATTGTCCCCCAGCTTATTTAACTTATATGCAGAATACATCATGCGGAAGGCTGGACTGGAAGTGAAGCTCAACATCAAAAAAACTAAGATCATGGTCACTGGTCCCATCGCCTCTTGGCAAACAGAAGGGGAAGATATGGAGGCAGTGACAGATTTTACTTTCTTGGGCTCCATGATCACTGCAGATGGTGACAGCAGCCACAAAATTATAAGACGCCTGCTTCTTGGGAAGAAAGCGATGACAAACCTAGACAGCATCTTCAAAAGCAAGAGACATCACCTTGCCGACAAAGGTCCGCATAGTCAAAGCTATGGTTTTTCCAGTAGCGATGTATGGAAGCAAGAGCTGGACCATAAAGTAGGCTGGCCGCCAAAGAACTGATGCTTTTGAATTGTGGTGCTGGAAGAGACCCTTGAGAGTCCCCTGGACTGCAAGAACAAACCTATCCATTCTAAAGAAAATCAACCTTGAGTGCTCACTGGAAGGACAGATCCTGAAGCTGAGGCATCAATACTTTGGCCATCTCATGAGAAGACTCCCTGGAAAAGACCCTGATGTTAGGAAAGTGTGAAGGCAAGAGGAGAAGGGGACGGCAGAGGACAAGATGGTTGGACAAGTGTCACGGTAGCAACCAACGCAAATTTGACCCAACTCCAGGAGGGCCTGGCGTGCTCTGGTCCATGGGGTCACGAAGAGTCGGACACGACTTAATAACAAATTAAGTTTTTCCAGTACCGCAACCCCACTACCACCGCAATAAGCAGGACTCCATGGCCAATTGAGGCTAGATGGATAGATAAAAGCACTACAATAAAGAGGATGATATGCTCCAATGATACGTGGCTGGAGTTTTTGTGGGATACGGAAGTGTTTTCTCGATGACAGGAGGGAATTTAATGAGTCGGAGAGCAAGGCGTGTCATTAGCGGAGACGCTTCTCCTCAGCGTGTTCCCTCCCCGTTTTCCTCCCTGGAAAAGGGCTCAAGGGTGAGGCGACTGTCGCCGCTACTCTTCTGACGACGCCCCAATACGTCGCGTTAAGGCACATATTCGCTTCGCTGCCACAGACCCACCTACGCGAAAGCTGTGCTGCTCTTTCCTTTCTGCAATTAGTGGTTTGTTGTTGTTGTTTTTCTTTCCCGAAAGGATGTTGTTCTTCCGTTACCCGGGGCGCCTCATCTCCTCCAGCCCGCGCTTTCCTGCAGCTCTCTCCTTTAGGAGAGAAGACTGAGGCGGAGGAGAATGAGAGAGAGAGAGAACGCGCGCGCGCCTCCCTCCCCCTCCTCCTCCTCTTTAACGGTCATTTGGTTCGATTCAGAGCGCGAGGCGTCGGGATGGAGAGACTGGTGGGCTTGCGCCGGTTGGGGGCGCTGCGCGGAGGGAGGCCGCTCCCCCCCCCCCCCCGCGTTCTTTCTCCCTGCGCTGAAGCGTGGCTTTTGGGTGACACTGGGTAGCGACGGCATCCAAGAGGAACCTTATAAGATAATGACCGTTTTAAGATGAATTATAAGGTCACAAAGCAAGCAGGAAACGTTCGAGGTCATCAGCAGCATTCTTCATCAGGCTAACTGATACGCAGTGGAAAACACGTGAGGGGGTGGCCAACCTTCTAGTACCTCTTTTTCTGTCTTTCGGCTCACCGTCCATGAACTTCTACGTTTGCTCATTTTATTGGAATTAGTTGGCCCTAACAAAGATATTGCTCTTAAATGGTGTGGCACCATGTCATAGCCAACGTAAAGCAACTTGATAGGAAAGCTTTTAATACGTTGGCTGAACCAAAAAAGTCTTGTGACCAAGGAAGTGGTTTGTAATCCACAAAATACTCATGCTAAAATACTGTACTGTAAATGTTTTGGTCCTAAAGGCGCTCTAAGACTCTGTGTTGAAAATAACAATTGCTGCCTCTATCAAAATAAAAGGGTTTCCCCCTCCCTACTGGCTTTATATAATTTTTCTTCATTTTCCAGAGGGTAGTCTTCATTTTCTCATAGAATTCAACAGGACTTAACAACATAACTCTGTACATTTACTCAGAAGTAAACTACTGTACTGTTTCTATTGTCAAGTAATCTTAAAGTGTATTACATCGAAGCCTTACTTCATAGAATTTAACTGCAATATTTCTGGCAGTTTAAAATACTGAAAGGAGGATTTTTGTTGATTAATTTTCCTATTGGTTGTTGTGGGTTTTTCGGGCTGTTTGGCCGTGTTCTGAAGATTGTTCAGAACACGGCCAAAGAGTCCGAAAAACCCACAACAACCATTAGATCCCGGCCGTGAAAGCCTTCATGAATACAATTTTCCTATTAATGAGTTCTCACTTATTTTGCTTTATTTTGCATTCTTACAATCAGATCCTGAAGTTAGTTCTTGTGGTATTTAATAGGACTTGAACTAAGCAGCATCACCATTATATTACATTATAAAATGTATCAATTTTTATATAATTAGAAGCCAATTCAAATTATATATAAAATAAAATGATGCCGTTTTATAAATGCATATATCCAGAATTTCAAAGCTGCAATATCTTTTTTCCTTTCACAAGTTACAGCTGATGTTCAACAAGTGCAGCTTTCTCCAGGAGAAAGACATAAAAATGGAAAGAGCCTCATCTGAATATTTGTCATGCAGTTTAAAAGTGCAGCATCTTTACTCGGACCATTGCAAGTGTGCAGAAATTTCTGGATGCAACTTAAAACCTAATCACATGGACCATTTTAATTGTTTATTTTTCTTACTTTTTATATCGATATACTGTATTTCTGTCAAGAGTACTGAAGGAACTCTCGGAACCACTATCCATTTTTTTCTAATCATGCAAAATGGGTAAGGTGCCAGAGGATTGGAAGAGGGCCAATGTTGTTCCTATCTTCAAAAAGGGCAAAAAAATAGGAACCTGGGAACTATAGGCCAGTCAGCCAGACATCATTCCCAGGCAAATTCTGAAACAGATCATAAAGTGGTCATTGTGCAATCACCTAGAAAACAATGCAGTAATAACTAGAAGCCAACACGGATTTGTCAAGAACAAATCCTGTCAAACTAATTTGATCTCATATTTTGATCAGGTCACCTCGCTGATAGAGAGAATGCTGTAGATGTACAGTAGTATATCTTGACTTCAGCAAAGCTTTTGACAAAGTGCCCCATTATATCCTGATTAGCAAGCTACTGTAACTAGGTGTGGGCTGGATAGATCAAGTGTCAGGTGGATACACAGACTTGTACATATAATCAAGGATTACCATCTTAAAAAATAACAAAAAGAACTAATTGTCATAATGGTCACAGTAAGAGTAATCTTTGCAAAAAAATTGGAAAAATGACTAAAATAACAAAAAGAACTAATTGTTATAATGGTCACAGTAGCAAGACTAATCTTTGCAAAAAAATTGGAAAAATGACAAACAAATTGAAGATTGGTATAAAGAAATGTGGAGTTTAGCGATAAATAATAAGCTAATGTGAAATAAAAGTAAGAAGGAGAGTGACAAAATAGAATGATTTTGAATACAGTCGTGCCTCGCTTAACGATTGCCCCACATTACGATGAAATCGCTGTATAACTATCTCTTTGCGATCACAAAATGATGGTCTAAATAGGTTTTTTTCGCTTTGCGATGATCTTCCCAAAACGATGGTTTTTTAACAGCTGATCGGCAGTTTCAAAATGGCCGCCGGGTGCTTAAAATGGCTCCCCGCTGTGTTTAGGGACGGATTCCTCGCTATACAGGCAGCGAAAATGGCCGCTGTATGTAGGATCTTCACTGGATGGTGAGTTTTTACCCCATTGGAACACATTGAACGGGTTTCAGTGCGTTTCAGTGGGGTTTTTAATTTCGTTTTACGATATTTTCGCTTAACGCCGATTTTCCTGGAAGGGATTATCATCGTTAAGTGGGGCACCACTGTAAGTATGGAATCCATATTTGAATTGTTTTTTTTGTAAAAGGGAAAGGTCCTAAGCCAGCAGAAGAATCGATGTCTTTTTGGAGGGTAATGGGTTGAAAAGAGGTTAAAAGAATATATTTGGTTATCTGGTCCCAAGGGGGGGTGGCACGGGGGGGATTTTGTACGGTATATATGTACACACTTTTTATGCCAGTATTTTCATTATTGTTTTTCTTTAATTAATAAATTTTTTTAAAAGTTTTTTTATTGCTAAGCATAAAGGATACACACAGTGCTGGCCAAATGTATATTATCCATGTGTCATGTGAACAAGAATTTATAAAACCATTTTTAAAGCAGCAGAATCAATATGATTGAGGTTCTTTTGGCATGTGTGACTGCACCCTTGGTATCTCATTCCTTTCTAGGCTGACTTTCATCCTCCTATGGGGACGGAAACTACTTTGGCGGTCATCCTAGCCTATTGGATGTTCATTGGAAGAGAGAAGGGGAAGTGCAGTCCTCTTGATTTGTACTAATTGTACTAATTTGTACTAATTGTACTAATTGTATATCCTTCAGATTGCTTGCAGAGGATGGGTACTGGAAGTAATGTACTGAGGTGGTGGGGAACCACTGTTCCTTTCTTTGGCTTGGCAGCCTATAGAAAACTCTGTAGGGTTCCATTTTGTCCACCACACTATTCAACTTCCACATGATACATTAGTAATGTCATTCAAAGATATGGGCTCTAGAATCATCAGTATGCACCTAAAACACACTTCTCTCACATTTTCATTCGTACCTAGGGAGGCAGTAAAAGTCACAGTCTGCTGTCTTACCACTATAATGGTGACGACTTGGATGGAGCAAGCAAAAGGAGCAGAAGCACCATGATGACAAGAAGAAAACACTGTTGACAGCTGAAGTGCTTGTTTCACAATTAGATGTGTGACCTATCTTATATGGAGTTACATTCCTGAAAAATCAGCTTTGTCATTTGTCTTTTTTTTTTCTTGAATCCTTTGCAGATATGCAAGTGGCAGCAGTAGCAAGAAACTTATTTTTCTGACCTTGACTGGCTTAGCAGCAATGGCCATTCCTGACAAAGGCTGATAAGACTGCTGCAAAATGTTTTATCTGGAGCTGCCCTTGCATTTCAAATATGCAAAATGCAACCACTAGGTTATTAGTTGAATAGTAAGTAACCAGTGTGAACCTGAAAAGCCCTAACAAAAAATGGAACTGAATAACAGTCTTTTTCATATACATTCCTCTATGCATATTCTAGTCATAATCCAAGCACTGTTTCAGGGTCCCGGCCTCTTGGAGAGAACCATACAACTTATAATATTTAAATATTTTTCAGTACCTTGCTCTGCCAACAGACGTTTCAGTTGATATGTAAAAACTTTGGTCTTAGAACAGACAAATGTACAATAATAATGTTTTCAATGTTTTAAGATATGAAATAAAGGGAAAGGGGAAACTTCACATAATGAATTCCCATAACTGTTATGTACACACCTACACACCAAAGGCACTGATAATCTCCTAGGAGAACAGGTGGCAACTGTAACTGCAGAGGAGTGGATGCATCTGCGGTTACCTAGATTTCCGTCATCACAGAGAAGACACAGAGTTCATACAGCACGGAGCAGCAGATTATATGTGTAGATGGGAATGCTGCATGGAATTTCGCAGTACAAATTTCAGATAATATTGTGCAATAATCATATTGTATTGCTAAAATTAATCTATTTTAGCTTATTGCCAGATTGCACTTTTTGATAATACACACATTATATTTAAGAAATAAGTTAAATTGTCATATAGGCAGTGCACAATCCTTAAGGTTTCTTCTCCTCTCTAGGAAAATGATTAATGGAAATGTATTAGTCATTCCTTTTCCCTAAATCATAATAGACAGTACTTAAGTCAAATAGACATATTAAGGCCTATAATCAGTGAATTTATAATTACTGCATTACTAAAAAATTAATTTAATTAAAATATTAATATTCTACTTTTTCTTCCATTGGCCAGCTTAACAAGGCAACTTGACATCACCAACAAAATAAACTATTAATGGCAATGGAGTAACTAATTAAAAAAATTACACCCCAGAAATAATAAAGAAATAGAACAGACATTGCTAAGTAATTGTCTTAACAGCCAAAGCCCCTGAAACAGCAGTCTTGTCATCTGAACCCCAAAAAGGAAGAAACAATGCAAGCCTCCCTAGAGATAGGAATTCCACAATGTAGCCTGTGGCTAGATGGCCATGTGTGCGGCTGACACTCCCTCAATCTTCAACAAGAGGCTGCTCCTGCTATAAATTTAATTACTTAGCACAGTTTTTCCCAAGCTTGGGAA